AGCGGCATTATACAAAAAACACTTGTTCATTTGAAAGCTATTCATCAGGCTCACTTGCCAGAAGAACATCCACAAAACATTTGGATGACTAAGTTCCTGCTTCAGATCACTAGCCGATGGTATCCAAGCTGCTAATGTTATTGTGCTGTATAGAATAACGGTAGACTTGCCTTGTCCACACTGTGCATGGAATGAAATTGGAGAGCCACCGTGTTTTTCTAATCTTTCCTGTAACTTCCTACTGGAATAGCTTGCAGTTCCTACATCTGAAGAAAGTAGGCCTTCTATGTAGTAACTTGGACAGGAAAAGAGTTTGTACAAAAGATCATTGTCTATCTCTTCAGTCAGGTGATAAAATGCAGTGTCATAAGATGACTGTACTGGTGCAGTGTAACTAGATGGTTTTCTTTTAAGGGTTGTTATACTCAAGTAGGAAGAGAGGCATGTTGAGTGATAATCTGCATCCTTATCAGTTCAGCACGTTATCTCCTCTTTGAGTGCTGCCTTCCTTAGATTGGTTGCTCTCCAAATGTTTCTATTTTATGATGTTTCTTGTCTTGTGTGTGAGTTATTTCCCTCCCTTCCTCTCCCCCCCCCACCCCCCGCAAGCAAACAAAACAAAAGGACCAAACGCTGGACAATGTGCTTGCTCTGGTAGCTATAGAAGAAGGTGAATATGATGCTCTCTGATCAGATTGAGTCTGTTTTCTTTCCTGGGTTCAATACAAATCTGAGATGTGCCAAATTCAACTTCCTTTTGTATGTCTGAAAGCAACCACTGTGATAGAGTATTGGTAGCACATCGTCTAAACCAGAAAACTCATTCAATAGCCCCCAGTACAATGAATCGCCCCTGGCTTCTGCTGCCAGCATCACAAAATTCTGTCCAACATTGGTGGCTTTTGAAAACTTTGCATTCTTTTGATTTTCTTGACAAATATTTTTGTGGAGTGTCTTTGTGGTTTGATGTAAGCTTTAGGGGGCTTGTATCCTTCAAGTTTTCGTACATTATAGCTTCCGTGTAGAGGTTAATTCCCAAAATATATTGTTAGCATTACCAGCACCCTTCACAAGTAGATAGTCGTGTGCTAAGTTAGATCTATATGTTAGTATCAAAATCACCATTTTTATTTAGGGAGTACTTTGATTGGAGCCCAGTATGAAGCTGTATATTGTCATTTCTAACACTAATACCATCCTGTTCATAACTGTCACTGAATTAAAAAGCTACTTTCTGGAATATTTCAAAGGTTATTACTGCATGCATAGGAAATTACAAATAAAACCTTCTACCAGGTATGTACAAAAGCTTACAACTGGAGAAGCATTACATTGGAAATTCATGTACATTTATATCTACCCACTATACAGTACAAACTATGGGCAGGTAATCTTCTGCTTATGCTGCACTGCCTTCAGTGTGATACTGATTTGGTCAGCAATTTTCAGTTGAAACTATAGAAGTGATTATAAGAGTTTTCTGAGATACTTTGACCATTAAAAAGATGCCATGTGAAAATGTTCCATGTTAATATATTGCAAAATGTTGATATTTGCCATTTTTGCCACTTGCTAAACAGCTTAATCACTTCTGGGGAAAAAACTTGCCCAAGCAAAACCAGTAAAAAATATTTTAATACGTTGTTGTTTGATAGCTTTGACCCATGCATACCACAATAAGATGTTGACATTAACTCAAACAGTAAAACTGTAGTGATAACCATGCTGCAATATTTCTGGAACTTTGCAAAAAGTGACACTTTCTCATTTTGGGTACCATTATTTCACCTTGCCTACAGATTTATGGCAATCCTTGACAGTGCTATGTCATACCTTATCTAAATGTAAACAAAATGAGCTTTCAAATTATATATGATGTGGGAATGTCTAGGTTGGATGCATTAAACTCCAGAATTATGGCCCTTTTTGAAGAATTGCCACATACTTAAATGTGGTGTTGCTGCACCGTATCCAGGACCTTGTAGGGCTTGTCAGTGTTGTAATAAGCTGGTTTCTTTGTTTCTCTCTGACAGATGCCAAAGCATCACGATGGACAGCTGCTGTTTCCCCGGCAGATATTTCACCTGTGAAAAATCAGGACGAGGGGAAGTATAGTTATGTATATAAGACAAAGCCCCTAATATTGGCTCGTCTGGTCACCCTAGTGGTACCTAGGAATGACAACAAGTTAGAGTCAAATCTGGGAAAGATATAGGAGGTACTATTGGGAAGGAGAAAGCATGCTGGAGAAATAACATGTATCATAGCCTCATAGCAGAGAAGCCATAATCAGAATTGAGTCCCCATCATGCAAAGTGCTGCATGAATACATAAGAAACTAGGGCCCTGACCTAAAGGGTGACAAACATATACAACTATTTTAATTTTGGTTTTGTAATTATATAATTAATGGCATTTGCCCACCAGTGCTCAAAGTAGCATACAGCCTTGGGGTAGAGCTGGATTCTTCATTTCTCCTGGATGCTTATTTGCAACATCAGTAAGCTTGCCTTCTTCCAGCTTCACCTTGCAAGAGAACAGCACCCTGTGCAGCAGTGCTTTAGTCATAATGACCCAGCCCGTTACCTCCAGGCTTAACTACTCCTCTACCTGAGATTAAAACGTAAGACCACACAAAAACTGCAGTTTGTCTACGCCAGAGAAGTCAGCCTGCTAAATCCAAAGAAAGTACCAGTACTCTGCAACCTACATTGGACTCTCTTCCACGTTTGGATCAAGTCCTAGGCAGTGGTCCTGATCTGTGAAGCATTCAATAGGTGAGGCCTGTGCTACCAGAGAGACCCTTTCTCCTACATTTTCCTTCCCCACCCCACACACACACACTTTCATCTGCAATTGACTGGCACAGTATAGCTGAGGCTTCATCTTGAAACCCAGGCACTCTGAGGGGAATGCTTTAGACTAGGATTACCAACCACTGGTGATTAGGATGATCCCAAATGCTGTGATCACCCCTTGTGTAAGTGACATTCCATATTTGATGGCGGCTGTCCTATGACCCTTATCCAACTTGGAGTCTCAGCAAGCCAGGATTGTGAGTTCAATTCTTGAGGGGGCCATTTAGGGATCTGGGGCAAAAAATTGGGGATTGATCCTGCTTTGAGCAGAGGATTGGACTAGATGATCTCCTGAGGTCCCTTCCAACCCTGATATTCTATGATTCTATGATTCAATGCAACAACGTAAAAGTTCATTCACTAAGTGTGATTTTGTACTATGAATAAAGCATCCAGAGTATAGTCTCTTAAAGATGCATTTTTTGTAGTGGATCTTTATTTCCTTGAAAACTAGGAAGGTCACCTTAGCATCGTTGTCAATTCTCGCAGTTTTAGTGCACCTCTCACAATGTGGCATTTGAGACTCTCCTCTTTTTTCATTTCAAAAGGGTTCTTGTTCTTAGCCTCGGAGAGAAAAAGCTTGAAACCATGAACTCAGCTAACCTGAAGGAAGGCCAAATGTATTTTATTTTTTTAAAAGTCTCATGGTGGTTTTAGGCCTGTCTGGTGCCCTAACTCATGATTTGTTGAAGGCTTGGAGAAGGGCTGCCGGTTTTGGTTGGATGTATTTCTGGAGGTTTCACTACATGACACAATCTCTAATTAAAGATTCATTTTTAATTCCTGGAGATTCCAGGACAACCCTGGAGAGTTCCCAACCCTAGCTTGGTTTCAGAGTAACAGCCGTGTTAGTCTGTATTCGCAAAAAGAAAAGGAGTACTTGTGGCACCTTAGAGACTAACCAATTTATTTGAGCATAAGCTTTCGTGAGCTACAGCTCACTTCATCGGATGCATACTGTGGAAACTGCAGAAGACATTATATACACAGAGACCATGAAACAATACCTCCTTCCACCCCACTCTCCTGCTGGTAATAGCTTATCTAAAGTGATCATCAAGTTGGGCCATTTCCAGCACAAATCCAGGTTTTCTCACCCTCCGCCCCCCCCCCCCCACACACACACAAACTCACTCTCCTGCTGGTAATAGCCCATCCAAAGTGACCACTCTCTTTAAAATGTGTATGATAAGCAAGGTGGGCCATTTCCAGCACAAATCCAGGTTTTCTCATCCCCCCCACCCCCCTCCAAAAACCACACACACAAACTCACTCTCCTGCTGGTAATAGCTCATCCAAAGTGACCACTCTCCCTACAATGTGCATGATAATCAAGGTGGGCCATTTCCAGCACAAATCCAGGTTTTCTCACCCCCTCGCCCCACACACAAACTCACTCTCCTGCTGGCAATAGCTCATCCAAACTGACCACTCTCCTTACAATGTGCATGATAATCAAGGTGGGCCATTTCCAGCATAAATCCAAGTTTAACCAGAACGTCGTGGAGGGGAGGGGGGTAGAAAAAAACAAGGGGAAATAGGCTACCTTGCATAATGACTTAGCCACTCTTAGTCTCTGTTTAAGCCTAAATTAATAGTATCCAATTTGCAAATGAATTCCAATTCAGCAGTTTCTCGCTGGAGTCTGGTTTTGAAGTTTTTTTGTTGTAAGATAGCGACCATGTCTGTGATTGCGTGACCAGAGAGACTGAAGTGTTCTCCGACTGGTTTATGAACATTATAATTCTTGATATCTGATTTGTGTCCATTTATTCTTTTAGGTAGAGATTGTGCAGTTTGACCAATGTACATGGCAGAGGGGCATTGGTGGCACATGATGGCATATATCACATTGGTGGATGTGCAGGTGAACGAGCCTCTGATAGTGTGGCTGATGTTATTAGGCCCTGTGATGGTGTCCCCTAGCGTGGGGTAAGAGTGCTGCCTCCGCAAGGGAGGCGGGGAAAGCGCCTGAGAGGGTCCAAGGGACTGGGAAGGGAGCAGGGAGGCGGAGCGTCCCCGGGCCGGAATCCAGGCAGGAGCGGAGTTGAAGGGGATGGGTAGCGCTAGGGGACAGCCTTGCATAGGATGAGGAGAGGGGAGGAGCAGGTGGGGGCGTAGGGAATAGGGTTTCCCTACTACGCATGCTCGCACCTGCCGGCTCCTCCCGCCGCGGGTCGCATGCGGCACGCAGGGGACGGGTGCACCAGGCCGCTGTTAGGGGCTGCGCGCCTGGGGAGCGGTAGCTGCGGGGCCATGAGGCTGGCGGAGGGGAGCTCCGGCCGGGCGCTCCTTCCCCCTCCGCAGCGAGCGTAGCCGCCGCTTGGGGCAGAGCCGTCCCTTCCCCCGCCCCGGCCATTGATGCAGCTGCCGTTGGGCGGCAGCGGTGGCGCGCGCCGCAGAGGGGCCGTTTGATTCCGGGCCGGTAACTGTCGGTACCGGCCGCTGCCTGTGGTCGGGCCGAGGCCTGGGGCTGCCCCCAGTATGCGATGGGGAACTGCTGGGCGCAGTGGTGCTGCGGCCTCTTCTTGCGGAGAGAAGCGGGGCGGATCCAGCGAGGCGGAGGGTAAGGCGGAAGGAGCAGCCCCCTGGGGCGGGGAGGCGCCGCACCGGCCTGGCTCCGCCCTGGCGCGGTCGTTACCCCGCACTCCCAACCCCGGGACCCCGCGGGGCGGAAGGGCCTGGCAGCTGCACGGCGGCTTGCCGGCAGAGGGGAGGGCGCTGGGCGGGCTGGTCTGTTCCCTCCCTGAGATGGGGCCGACCCCGGGTTGAGCCGGGGGGGCAAATGTGCAGCTGGCAGGGCAGGGCGCGGGGCCTGGCACGGGCGGGGTGTACCTGGGAAGGGTAGAGGGGGGCTGCAGAGGGAGAGGGAAGGGGGCTCGGTGAGGTGCCAGGTGGCGCTGTGGCCTGGCGGAAGCTCTGGGAGGTGACCCCGCACCATGCCGAGGGCCTCCAGCCTGGACAGAATCCCACTGAGTGAAACAGTTTCTTACGGCCACCAGCTGGCTGGTCTGTTAAGCCTCTGTCATACCTAGGGGTGCTAAAACTCACCTAACTTGTGTGAGCCTCGGTTCCCGCTTGTTTGAGCTGGCTGGTTTCCTCCTTCCTCTAAAGCGGTAATGGGAGAACTTGACACCCACGGTTTCAACTTGAAGGCTTAGCAAAACCTTGTGGAAGGCCTGAGGATCTTGTCTACATTTGAAATGCTGCAGTTGTGCCCCTGTAGCGCTTCATTGTAGACGTTACCTATACCATCGGTATAGGTAGTCCACCTCCCTAAGAGGCGATAAGAATTCTTCCATCGACCTAGCACAATCTACACAGAGACTTAGATCAGCTTAACTATGCCACTCAGGGGTGTGTATTCTTCATGCCCTTCAGCAGTGTAGCTTGGTTGATCTTATTTTCTAATGTAAATTAGCCCTAGGACTCTAATACTACTTATGAAATTAAACTGAAAACTTTCTATTGGGAATTGGATCCTTCTGGTACTTTCACAAGCTAAATCCTTTCTTCTCCTGCAGTAATTATGACCCCGGGAATAAAAGTAATCTCTGGTAAAGGTGATTTAGCAGTGTCCAGAGAGGGTGTGAATTTAGAATTCTGACATAGTTCCCAAGTGCCCCTTTGACTGCACAGCTACCATTAGTTTTCAGTAAATTCTTGGAATGCATTGGGGGCAGTTTTTTGTTTCAGAAAGTGGAGGAAGTAACCAGGGAGACAATTTTAGACACGATTCTGACCAGCAGGGAGGAACTGGTTGTGAATGTGAAGGTGGAAGGTAGTTTGTGTAAAAGTGATCATGAATTGACAGATTTCATGATTCAAAGGAAATTAAGGAGAGAGTAGCAAAATAAGGACAGTGGACTTCAAAAAGGCAAAACAAACTCAAAGACCTGCTAGGTAAGGTCCCATGGGAAGAAAATCCCAGGTGATAAAGGAGTTTAGGAGGGCTGTGAGTTTCTCAAGGAAACGGTATTAAAGGCACAACACCTGCAAACTATCCCAATGTGAATGAAAGATCCATATTGGCTTTTTACTATTTTTCATATCAGGAGCTCTTTAATGGACTGAAAATCAAAAAAGAATCTTATAAGAAGTAGAACTATGGATGAATTGCTAAGGAGACGTATAAAAGAATAGCACAAGCATCTCGGAACAACAAAAAAAAGGCCAAGGCACAATAAGGCCTTGTCTACACTGACAAGTTTCTGCGCAACAAGTTATACCACTTTTATTCGGGGTATGCCTACACTGGAAACTTCAAAGCTCTGCTGTGGGAACGCTCCCGCGGCAGCACTTTGAAGCACGAGTACGCTCGTGCATGAGCTGGCTCTCCCAGCGCTCCTGGTAATCCACCTCCACAAGGGGATTAGCTCCCAGCGCTCAGAGCCTGTCTACACTAGTGCTTACACCTAGCAAGGGACGTAAAAGGCAAAAAGAAGAGCTTCTTTACATACATTAGGAGCAAGAGAAAGATGAGGGAAAGTGTAGGTCCTCCACTTAAGGCTGGAAGGAGACCTAATACAAGATGACATCAAGAATGCTGAGGTGCTTAATGCCGGTTTTGCTTCAGTTTTTGTGAAAAAGGTTAATGATGAACAGATGCTAAACACAATTAACGTTTATGCAAGCCAATATGAGGAAAGAATGGGTTAAAGAATATCTAGATAAGTTAAACATACTCAAGTTGGGGAGGCCTGATGAAATTTGTACTTAAGGAACTAAAGGAAGCAATCTCAGAACCATTAGCAACTCATGGAGGATGGGTGAGTTTCCAGAGGACTGGAGAAGGACAAACCTAACTTTAAAAAGGGGAACAATGAGGACCTGGGGAATTATAGGCCAGTCAGGCTAACTTTGGTACCTGGGAAGATACTGGAACAAATTATTAAACACTTACTTTGTAAGCACCTAGAGGATAATAGGGTTATGAGGAATAACCAGTCAGCAAGAACAAATCATGCCAAATCAGCCTAATCTTCTTCGACAGGGTTACTGGTCTAGTGGACAGGGGAAAGAGTAATTGTGATATATCTTGATTTTTAGATTTTAGGCTTTTGACACAGTTCCCACATGATGTTCTCATAAGCAAACTAGGGAAATGAAGCCTAATGCAATTACTATAAAGTGGGTGCACAACTGGTTGAAAGACCATACTCAAAGAGTAGTTATCAATGGTTCGCTGTCAAACTGGGAGGATGTATCTAGTGGGGCGCCGTAGGGGTTAGTCCTGGGTTCAGTACTGTTCAATATTTTCATCAATGACTTGAATAATGGAGGGGAGAGCATGCTTATAAAATTTGCAGTTGACGCCAAGTTTGGAGGCGTTGCAAACACTTTGGAGGAGAAGATTAGGATTCAAAATGAGCTTGACAAATCGGAGATTTGATTTGAATTAAACCAGGTGAAATTTAGTAAAGACAAGTGCGAAGTGATATTCTTAGGAAGGAAAAATAAAATGCATAACTATGAAATGAATAACTTTGGCTAGTACTGCCAAAAAGGATTTAGAGGGATTCTAGTGGATCACGAATGAGTCAGCAGTGTGATGCAGTTGTGGAAAAGGCTAATATCATTTTGGGGCATGTTAACAAGCGTTGTATGTTACCCATGAAAGTAATTGTCCCACTGTACTTTGCACTGGTAAGGATTCAACTGGAGTACTGTGTCCAATTCTGGGCACCACACTTTAAAAAAGATACGAATCAATTGGAGAGAGTCCAAAGAAGAGTAACAAAAATACTAAAGGTTTAGAAAACCTGACCTCTGAGGAAAGGTTTAAAAAAAACAAACTAGACACATTTAGTCTTGAGAAAAGAAGACTGAAGGGGGACCTGATAAGTCTTCAAATATGTTAAGGGCTATTATTATTATTTATTATTAAGAGCATGTCAATCATTTGTTTTCCATGGCCACTGAAGGTAGGACAGGAAATAATGTGTTTAATCTGCAGTCAGGGAGATTAAATATTAAGAAAAATGCTCTAACGATAAAGATAGTTAAGCACTGGAATAGGCTTCCAAGGGAGGTTGTGGAATCCCCATCCTTGGATTTTTTTATTTTTTTTTTAAGAACAGGTTGGGCATGCACACCTGTGCATGCGCACGCACACTCCCCCAAATTCAATAGCTTTAAACTGACTTGGAATTTAGCTTGATCAAAAGTTAAAACATTTTATGTTTTTATCAACATTTTGAACAACTGTGGCTTTTGGTTGATCAAAAATTCTACTGTGCTTGTATTTAGAAAAAAGTTCATAAATTAATAAACTGACTGTTCAAATTTGTGTTCTTTTGGGGGTCTTGATATCTGCAATGTAAGCCAAATATGAATCAATTAGCATCTGTAAAAATCTAAGTGTAGTCTGTGGGGGAAGGTCTTTAATATATTTCTATAGATATTTAATAAATATTTTCCTTTAGTATATGCTGAACAAATATTTTGCCCAAAGATTAAAAATAATCACCTCTCTGCTGATATCCAACATGAAAGCTTTCAGTCTAGAAAGATTTATTTTTTCCAGTAAGATATGAGCAACTGAGAAAGGGAAAGGTAGACGTTAGAAAGTTGTAAAGACGTTAGAAAGTTGAAAGACTCTTGTAGATGTTTCATAGAACTGGGGGTGGGGAGAGAGAATATTATGGTATAAGTTGAGAAGGTTTAGGAATTCTGAAGACCTCTGTAGCAAATGCTGTGTGAAGTTGAATGTTAACTGATAAAATTGGCAGAAATCCCAGGTTCCAAACCATACTGTTAATGTACACAGATCCATACTTATGGGATCTGACGCTGCTCTCGTTGAAGGTAATGGTAATCACTTCTGGGAGAAGGTTCAGCATCTCTGAGGAAATTAGTGCTTCACCTTCATTGTTGTATGCAGTGAGGTCTCTAACTATAAAATTGGAGAGATCTCTTGTAATACTGTTTACTTTGCACTTTAGTGCATTTATATATGAGGCTTGCAAAGACAGACACTAATCTAAATTGAATTTATCTTTGTATGAAATTGCAAATTGTATGAAATTTTAAAAAAATTTTTTAGCAAAATGTCTACTATATGAATTACTGTAGTAATTGAATTCTCAGTGGGAACAACAAGAAAGGTTTCTTAAGCTGCCTGCTTAGCTACAGAATTTGGTCCTTTTTAAAATTACCATTTTTAATTGTGTCCTGAAACAAATTTCTGTTAATATTGCTCTTCAAATAAAACTTAATGTCTGTGGCCTCCAGCTGTAATTAAAAAATAGGTCAGGTCTAGTTTGTCCCTGTCCTCAATCATAAGCTTTTTCTCTTTGCTCCTAGAGAGATCACATCGTTCATAAAAGGCAGCTGTGCGGAATAAGTATAATTGGAGCTCCTGGCATTCTTTTGCTGTCATTTCCATGATAAGATTAAAGTATAAACATTTTTATCACTTATGTAAAAAACAAAATCAGTTTAAATTTCCATATGTCCATGTTCTTGCATATCTAATTTTATTAACAAGATTTTAATATAAAAATCCCCCTGCATCAATACTTAAATAGGATTGTATTTAGCTTATTTACTCCTTCTATGGAGTGTAAATGTGAACCCTGTATGTCTTTTTCCCATACAGTATTTTGTCAACTTTAAAGTTTAATTGGCTAACCTGTAATGTCAAAAAGGTCATGATTTTGTATGAGCTGCAAGAGATGGAGAAGTGAAACAATACTGTAACCTTTTCTTTTAAAAGTTCTTTCAAGAAAATAATCAAATGTATCTGTATTTAAATATAGAATATCATAACATAATATACATATGCACACTAATGATGTACTAATCTATTCTTTAATTTCAGCTCAAATCCGACAAATGGTAAGGGGTGATGAAAGCAACATTTTCCCCACTCCTTCCTTGTTCACTCTGGGCCCTACCCTGAGAGGTGCCCAGTGCCCTCGTGTCGTCCATAACCTTAGTGGGATTTCAGGGCACTGAGTTCCTCAAAGGATAAGGCCCACACTTATCATTTCTGTAAATAAGAGGGAGCAACAGAGCCAAGTGACACAAGATGCTTCTTCTGTTGCTTGTTATCCATCCCTTTAGACCAGTGGTTCCCAAACTTGTTCTGCCGCTTGTGCAGGGAAAGCCCCTGGTGGGCCGGGCCAGTTTATTTACCTGCCCCGTCCGGAGGTTCGGCCGATCGCTGCTCGCACTGGCCGCGGTTTGCTGCTCCAGGCCAATGGGAGCTGCTGGAGCGGCGCGGGCTGAGGGACATGCTGGCTTTCCCCCGCACAAGCGGCGGAACAAGTTTGGGAACCACTGCTTTAGACAATTATTCAATTTAAAACAGGAGGTATGCATTCTGGAGACCGTTTTCAAACATGCTGCTATTGTGAGCTGAAAATGAAAGCAACATGGGGGAGCAATTTAAATGGCTTGGGGGTATTTTTTGTTTTCTTTTGGTTTTTTGGTAAAAACAAATCATTAATCTGAGTCTTTTTAAAAATTATTTGCAAAGTTGGTATTGGCAGAAATCAAAATTGAAAATTAAGACCCTGATTCTGGAAACACTTCAGGTACATGACTATGCTCATGAATAGTCCCACTGACTTCAGTCGGCCTGCTTGTGCTTAAAGTTTAGCTTGTGCCTGAGTGTTTACAGCATCAAGGCAAACATTGTATTTTTAGTTAAACCAAAAAAAAAACTTTCTTAGTGGCATAAAATCTTTTAGTTCAAAACAAAATTGCTTCCATGTTAACTATGAAAAGTTATTTAGACTTTAATGTTAAACTTAATATGAACTTTTTTAAACACACAGGCTGAAAATTTCAAAAACAGAAGGCTAAAGTTAGGCGTATAAGGATTTTCAAAGTCACTGAAGTAACTTAGGGCCCTTTGATTTCTAACTGCAAACCCTGATGGAGGCATGTAACCTAATTAATTTGTTTTCCTTCAATATTCTGCCTTCAGTGTGGTCAACATGACAGTTATGTTGCTGATACTTGACTGAGGAATCTGCCTCTTAAGGGCTGCACTCATGGGTGGGAGCTGGGGGTGGGGGTGGCTGGATCAATTACACTTTTTTTTGTATGCAAAAAAAAAAAAGTGGGGTTATGTGGAGTTCTGGGCTGCAGCATATTGTTTGTTCTTTCCAACCCGGTTACATCACTCAAGGAACTGGGCTTTCTTTGGGCCCTCCCAGACTTGTTACAGTCCATTGGGCTTGCTGTAACATAGCTGTTTTCTCACAACCCTGGGAGACCATTCCATAGCCTAGTACATCTCACCGGTCTGGAAGTTTTCCTAGTGTCAGCCTAAATTTTTCTTTTCTTAATTTCACCATTTCTTTTTTAAAGGTGTGGTGTGTGCACATGTGCTCTTTCTCTGTGGTGCAGAACATTTTGGGAGCTGAAGGTCTAGAAAAGCTCCTCTAACAATGAATAAGAGCAGTCACGGTTGGGTTACCCTGGAAGTTATTTCTGGACAGAACAGTAGTTTTTATTTACGCCTGTGCTAGAATTTATAATATATTGATACAACCATACCTAAATCAGCAGTGGTCTGCTATTTGAGAGCCTATATTCTGACTTAAGGGGTGATAGCCTGAAAAAAAAAGTCTTGGTTGAAAGTCTTGGATAAACTTCAAATTATACTCGCCTGACTCATTACTTTGGAGTGGAGAACCTCCTTAAGATATACTTAAGTCAGTTAGTGAATCAAAGAAAGGCTTGGGTTTCTGTAGTTGCTATGCGCAACCACCGTCTGCCAAAAATGTCATTTGGTTCCCAAACTGTGATCCATGGAGAACTGGCAACTCAAATGGTGCTGGTTTACCAACTTGTTTCTTGATGCTTTTTTGAATAAATCAGTAATCTTTCTGCAAAAACAAGGGGTATAAAATGTTAGCCCCTTAGCTACATCAGTAAACAGCCAAAGAATGACACTCTACAAGCTGGCATTTGTTACATAGAACACAGCTAGCAGGCATAATGGGTCATACCATGAGCAATGAGTTTTTCAGAGGCTGGCCAGAATCATCTGTCTTGCGGGAAATAGGCAAAATGTACTAAAACTGGTTAACACAGTTTAAAAATAAAAATGCTCAATGGCAGCAAATGCAAAGCGATCAGCATCCTGATACATAAACTCCTTTCCCAGTGAAGGAGTAATTCTTTTTACACCTTCCAATTTGAAAAAAAAAATTTACATCCTCAGACGCAAGTATTTTTCACACTCCAGTTTGTCTCCCCTGTAATATAGTGCATCAGTTAATATATAGCTCAATTAATAATTAACGATAATAAATTGGCTTAAGCCTTAACATTAAAATGAACTCACAATGGCTTTTGAAGTATTTTACTCTTGAACTGCTTCTAATTTTTAATTAAAATGGTACTGATGTAACTATCAGACCTGATTTCATTGTGTCATAAATAATTTTTAGAATATTTTGAGAAGATATTTGAACTATAGAACTACTAACCTGCAATGAAATTATGGGTTTATTTTCTAGATCAAAGTATTTTAGAACATGTTCAACTGGAGAACACTTCACTATAGAGGTAAGTACTTTTTTCCTAAGCCTAGAAAACCTTTTTTAAACTTTGCACCCCAACCAGACTTTCTGGCACTTGTCATTGTTTGCGTAAAATGGAACCTCTTAACACTATATCAGACTAAAGCACTAAGTGAATCATAAAATAGCAATTGTCTTGCCACTTCTCTTGGTCAAGTAAAAAGACTTAGGCATGTCAGTATTCTAAACTGTAATGCATAGAGGAATCAAAGTATTAGTTTTCTGTGCCCTGTCCAGCAACAGATGAGACAGTAGCAAAAATTCTCAAGTCCTGACTTTACTCAGCTTCCACTACTGCTATACTGGGAGTGAAATGTATCACATTTTTGCCATTATAAATGCATCCTAATTTAGTCTGCTGGATCACAGAATCTGATCTGATCTCTCAAGATCCACCAACTGTGGAGGGTACTCTGTGTTGACAGGAAAATCCTGACTTTCAAGCAAGGAAGCGTCTCTATAGTTGCACAATCAAAGACTATCAGTTTAGCTGAGGGCAGAGTCTGTCACTTGCCTAATCTGTCAGCTTCATGGGAATAACAGAGTTGAGTGTGTTCATAGAACATGTCAATATAGCACACATGCCCTTGTCCTAAGAACTTGAGGATAGCTCTTTCCTCAAAGGTGGAACCTGGCATTGTTGGGGATAAATTTGTAGTAGCTACAATTGCTACCTTACTTGGTTGTCAGCAAGGGAAATAGAAGGTTATGTGGACCGAAAAATCTCCCCTTCTGCAGCATAAATCTGTCTGTGAGTGTTCCCTGCAGCAGCAGACTGATAGTGGAAAGAAGGTTCTGTCCTTTTCATAACCTCCGAGATGGCTTAGACCAGTTTCTCCCTTCCCATTTATAGTAGTCATTCTGTACCTTATAGGAACTCCTACAGTCTGTGCTGGCCACTGATGCTAGTAGATTGACTCCATTAAAGATGTAGGAAACAGCGCTGGATGGCTTCTGTTGGTTTTATTTTGGTCTTTGTGTTAGGTCAATCTACTGCAGTGGCTTGTGCAACTTATAAGACTGCATATATTTTGAATTCAGCCTTCTGTGCTTAGATCCCTTTTTAAAGCATCCTGGTGTTTTTATGGGCTCTTATTCTTTGATATGCAAAGTTGTCATCTTGCTTAGAATCCTGGCTTCTGTTTCAAGTAACTGATTATTCCACCTGAATTTGTTACAGTATATCCCCAAAATGGAAAGGGATGAATCAAGGTCTCTCTGGGGAAGAGATACACCTATGCTTAAGCTTTTCAGGAGGCAGGTTGTGGGAGGGGAGACTGGGACCGTGTTAGGATCCATAACTGGAAGAGAGGATTTTCCATCTTTGGCTGAGGAAAGCTTGTATTTATTTCTTAAGAGATGTCAACAGTGCCTAGAGCTTTTGTATAGGCAATTTATTTGTTTTTATAAGTTAAAATAAACTTCATCATTTTTGCCCTCTGAATATTTTTCAGAAAACATGTCATGAATTTCATTTATTTTAATATTTTAGTGTTAGAGGTAGTTTGCGTTACAGCTTTTGGCTTTGGTGCACTTTTATACTAATACACAGTACTTCTGTGTCTGTAGTGCCTATGACTGATAGTTTTACGGCTCTTATTCATATCAGAATACATGACTGAGAGAATTCATCAGTCGTTAACTAATAAAACCGTAAATTATCCTCCCAACAGAGTTGCTTGGGCACTGTATAATATCAAATGCAACAAAACTTTTTATTCTAACTCTTATCCTCTTAATTATTACATTCTGTGTAGAAGAAAACAACTTACAAGCAGTGTTTGTAGGATAGCTGGTCACACTCCAAAAGCAATAGCTCTTCACAAAGTAGAAGATTTGATAATTGAATATTATTGTCTTCAGCTTTAATTGGAGCAGTGTTTCCACAAAATATGCCTAATAGGTAAAGCTGTTGTAATTATGCTGATTTTTATGTGTTCATTGAAGTGCAGTGTTTGTATCACAATGTCTGCTTGTCAGTAACCTTGTATACTCTGTGTTGTTTTTCTTTGCAGTTTGAGAATCTAGTGGAAAGTGATGAGGTAAGTACTTGGGTTTCACAATACAGCACTCAGTAATTCAACACACTTTCACACTTCTGTTTGTAGTCCCAGGATCCACATCTTGCTAACCCTTCTGGCTGCAGCTAACTTCTGCATTGGTCTCTTCATAGAAGAGTTGCTGGTATTTCTTTGACGCTATCAGGGCTTGATTTTCTTCCTCTAGGATAGTAGTAAATAATATTCCTCTGGTTGCGGGGGATGAAGAGAAGTGGGGCTGCAAAGGGAAGTGCAGGATTATTATAATGGGAATTATGAAAAAAATTATACATGATAAAGATTCAGTCTTTAGGTGTATCCTACATAAGAGTAGGAATACTTGGCTAACTGTAATCTTTTTGATAAACCACAAACATTCCCCATTCCCCAAAATTGAGTGGTGGCAGTACAGCATGCTTTTATACAGAGAATTTGAGTTTGGCACCTGAACTATTATAAGCTCTAACTTGAACTGGTAAAAGTGCTGTAGTCAGTGTCTTTAGTCCCATCTAGGAATGTGTGCATTGGAGTTACTCTTTGGTAATGCTCCCCTTCGTTTCTGAAGCCTAACACAAGGAAGTAGTTCACCAGTGCTACAATTTGTTGCTTTCAGTCCATCCTTCATTGCAACTTAAGGTTTTTGAAGGAAAGAAGTAAAGAGAGGATTTCTGTGTCAACAAGCCTCTTTTCCCAACTCCCTGGCAACTCCAAAAAAATAAAAATAAAGACACAATAAATACCATTCGGGAGGTACAGTTATAGAACTTCTCAGGGACCTGGAGGTAGTTGAACTCTGTCCATGTGACCCAAAATGCATTTGAAAACATGGCACAAGAGTGAAATTACTGCATATAGGGTATACAGACTACACTTGCTCTGCTAGTTTTTGCTATCTAAGAATGAACTTGTTCAGATTTTGGTAGTGCAAAATTTAAATAGTAACCCTTACTGGTCTCTTTTGCACCTTCAATAAACAGGATTGGCGTCCCTTATGGTTCCAATGTCTGTACATAAGCAGTAATCTACAAGGTGTGGGTTTATAATGGATACCAGCACAGTTCAAGTGTTCTGAGGAACTAGGTCAAAAGTGGCATTTTTCAACCATCTGTGAAGTGCAGATAGTTCTGTGACTGCTGCTTAGAAGTGTCCTTGCACAATGGCTTTAAAAAAACATTCTTTAAAAAAATATGTGGCATGTGTCAGTCACTGGCTTCTGAACAGCTCACCAGTTTTCTCAAATGGAAAATTGGAAAATGGACTGCTTCTGGCATGGCTTAGTGTTTTTTCTTGTCAAGTTTTTAAAAAAAGAATTATAGACCTTTCTAAAATTAATCTAATAGGTTCTTTAGTGCCTCTTGAGGGCTAGTAGCCCTAGAACTTGACAAAACTTGTACGCCATTTTGACTGGAGCTAATCTCTCTCCTGGGGTACTACAGTGGTTAGCTTCACTGCCCAGCCTCAGTAAAGGTGTTATGCTGGACAAACAGCAAAGGAAAAAGCCAAAAAAAGAAACTTTGCTTCTGATGCAATTCTTCCCTCGTGAAATTCCTAGGCAGAAATATGCGCCTTTCAGTGACTGAGGGCAAGTCTACACTTAAAAAGTTTCAGCTGTGCTGTTGCAGTGCTTTAGTGAAGAGCTTCTCCTGTCGGCATAGTTAATCCACCTCCATGAGAGGCAGTAGCTATTTTGATGGAAGAAGCTCTTCCGTTGACCTAACACTGTCTACGCTGGAGGTTAGGTCAATATAACTGCGTCGCTCAGGAGTGTGGATTTTTCACACCCCGAATGACGTTATACCAAGTTAAGTTTATAGTGCAGACTGACCTGAAACAAAGACCCAAGTTGCTGAGGTCACCTCCTCCCAGGCTAACGCAGAATGAGGTAAACATATCACTGATCTGGTTGGTACAGAGTAGAAGATTCTGGTGCTGTATCCAAGCCAGACCAGAATATGAAAACGTGGAAGTTGCTGTCTGGGCAACACAATGGGGGAATGCCGATTCAGGTTTTATGCAGTTCTCTCACCCTGCTTGTATGTAACCCTTCTGCCCATCAGAGTTGGCAGCAACAAGGGCCGGGTTCAATATCTAGGGGCTCCATTCCAATAACACAATGCAAACCGGCTCGAGCCCCCACCCAGTGACCTGGGACAAATATATACCACCCCCGCTGGGCGCCTCCAAGAGGCAATACTTCCCCTCTCGCAAGCACATAGTCTGAGTGTAGCAAAAGCCTTTTAATAACAGAGAGAAACAATGTGGCATTATGTTTGGGAAACACCACCAACAGGATTCATAACAAAACCCATGAGCAAAAACCCACCCCAAGCAAATTGGGGCATGCCCTTTTCCCATTGGTTCTTGAGTCCAGCAACCCCAAATCACCCAAAGTCCCAAAAGTCCAATGCCCCAAAAGTCTCTGTCCCTGGTCAGGGCAGCCCCAGAGTTCGAAAGTTTATCTGCGGAGCTTTACCTCCCAACCTGGGTGGAAATGGGACGGGGATAAGAGGCACCTTACATGATCTGAAGCTGACCACCACACGAACTCCTTCGCTCAGCTGCGCTCCGCTCCGCCAGCCGCCCCACGAACTCCTTCGCTCAGCTGCGCTCCGCTCCGCCAGCCGCCCCACGAACTCCTTCGCTCAGCTGCGCTTCGCTCCGCCAGCCGCCCCCGAACTCCTTCGCTCAGCTGCGCTCCGCTCCGCCAGCCGCCCCACGAACTCCTTCGCTCAGCTCCACGGCCCACAAGCAGCTCCTGCCATCCACAAACTGCTCTACCAGCCCGTCCGCAAGGCACTCCAGCCGGCCCGCCAACTGCTCCACAATATATCTTCCGGCTCCCCCACTACTTAACACAACACTCAGTGATTTCAGCTCTTAGGTGAATTCAGCTTGTAGTAGGGGAGCCCCAGTGCTGGTGCACTGTCAGCCCAAAATGAGCTCAGCAGCCTATAACTAGACTTCTAATGAAATCAAAATTAGCTCTGATATTCCACAGTGGAGAGAGGAGGAAGTGCAATTAGCATGTAAGGCCCTCACCAAGGGGCCCATGCCACCAAGTATTAGTACTTGTCCCCAGCCTCTCTCCATTCACACAGTTTTGGAACCCATGACCCTTGCATAGCGAGTGCTACTTAGTTGATGGTGAATCCCTCCATCATAACAAAAGGCCACGTACAGTTCCAAGCACAGTTCCCATAATCAGGGTAATAACAATTTATTCTTCCCGCCCCAATAACAGAGACACTGGGGATCCCACAGCAGCCAAAGTGACCATTTGGGCAGCTATGGTCTCATTCTAGGCGTGGTGGGTGTGCCTATGCAAATGAGATTGGCCCCTGAAGTTCTTTTCCACAACTTGCCACACCTCACCACCAGATGTCAGGGTGGAGCTCATCCTGACACTGCTTACATGTACATAAATTGGCTCAAGCCACAAACCATTCAAAGGACCAAAATAGGCCTCACAACTTCACTTCTGAACAAGCACGTGCTGGTGATGATGGACAATATGTTGGCCAGTCATGTCAACAAACACGGAGGTCCCTAGGTCCAAAATGCTTCAGAGGGAAACTAATGTGTTTTTCACATGGGCTGAAAAACACCCTTTTCCAGCAAGAGTGCTTCACGTCTGGGAAAAGGGTGACGTAAGGGGAGACTAGCTAAGCTGACAGACTAGGAAGAATGGAATCTTCACCATGAGGTCTTCAGGAATCTGAAGTTTTTCAGGCAGCAGCTATGGAGCTGTCTTCATCCATGGACAGTACCAAAGTTGCCCAGGTTTTACTCCTGGATAAAGAGCAAAGGGTGGTAATAAGTTGTGCTACTTAACAAGTGGCCGATCAGCCTGCTCTGTATGTCCCATGTAGTTTCTGCATGTTGCTGCCTATCATGTAAAAGGGAAAAGAGGGTTGGGGGAGAAACCTAATCCCACAAACTCTTTAATGGCCAAAACAAGCTGGAGACCATAAGAGAGGACCTGCCTTGTGATCTACCTATACAAGAAATACCCTCCTTTCACAGACTGCCAGCATTCTATCACAGTGCAGACAGGCTGAAACTAGCTGCCTGTTACTCAGAAAGGTGAAGATGGAAAAAGAGGATGCTTGTAGCTCATTCTGTTGGATCTCTAATTACATTTGTGTATTGCTGATATTTAAACTGTTGTCTATGAAAGTTTGGTGGTGGTGGGTTTTTTTTTTAAATAAATGTAGATGGGTTAGTTTATATATTAAGAAGTAGGTAATGGATTATCTTAATTACATTAATTTTATTTGTAATTTAACAGGGAGAAAGCCCAGGAAGCAGTCATAGGTAAGATGTGTTTCAAGAGCTTTTTTTAGTAGCTTATGTCCTCTTCCACCATGTCAGTCAAGTTACATATGACCAGCAAAATTCATGCTGACTTTTTCACTTAACTGATGCTTGAAAATTCTAATGCCAGACAGTTACCCAACTTCAGTGGATAACTGTGCACTTACAAGATATTAATACTTGTAGTGGTAATTTATTTTAATATAGTTTAAAATACTTTTTAATGGAATTTAGTCAACAATAAATCCCTTATTTTTTGTAACCCACCTGATTTTTATATTTAATTCTGAAATGATGAACCTACACCTTAAATCTACTAGTTTTGCAAAGTTTACATTTATGTGGCATTCACAACCACTTGGATCTGACTAAAACAACAAATAGCACCACAACCACAGGGGGATGTGCTTCTTCACTGCCTTTGGGGCACATGAATAGACTGTGCCATGAGGATGATAGGAAGCAAGACACAGTGATCTTGAATGGGCGAGGATGGAGGGTCCCAGAGCTCGAGCTCCAGCCCCAGCTCAAACATCTACATAGCAATTTAAGACCCACAAGCCCAAATCAGCTGACCTGGGTCAGCCACAGCTGTGCCATGGCTCTTTTATCCCTGAGTAGTGTACCTTTAGAGTGCTCTCTGCAATTGTGGCAGCCTGGAGCTTGGGTATTGAATCTAGCACCCCAGACTCTGCAGTCAGTCACCAGAGTTTGCCTGCTGTCAGACTCTCACTGCACAGCCTGCGGGGGAAGAAAAGCCAGAGAGGCAGTGGCAGAAGAGGACAGAGAGGGAATGCAATGGAGGAAGATCATCTTAGGAAGCAGGTCCAGGCCCAGGTTTGGCCAAGGTAATTAAGGACTTTAGGTAGCTTTCCCAAGACTGATCCTCCCCTTCTCCATGCTTGAGAGTGAGGGTAAAGAATACAATAAGGAGGGCTATAGAGAGGTCCCGGTTTCATGGAGGTGGGGAGGCAGGGTTAGAGGTCCTGGACTGGTTCTGGAGGTGGGGAAAGGGAAAGGTCCCAGTTTCTGGGTGGGGTGGGGGGACAGTCCCTATTGCTCTAACATTCACAAAAGTGTATCTAAAATTCACCACAAGCATTCAAAGTGCTAGACTCGACCCCCTACCTGTATTTACCTTTGGCACTGGCAGCTGATCCAAGCAACATCCTTAATTGTTTTCATAAACACCCCTAAAAAATCTCAAAGCAAGGTTGGCATCTGAGTTAATAGAAGGACTTCAAATAAATCGGTATAAAGCAACAACTTTTTTTCAGTAGTCTAGAACAAGATATTTAAGATTTTTCTGAAGTATCCTTCTAAATTTTAAAAGTTTCAACTTCTTTTAAAGGCTATGACACTTGGCTTTTCTTTTCCTCACAGGTATTCAACTTTGTTCACAGTGTAGATATTTTCTAAAAGTATATTTCAGTGATTATGCATAAAAATATTTTTAAACTTAAATGCATGTTAGTAAATTAATTGAAGGTAGATCTGTATAATATACAGCAAGATTGCTGATGTTTGAGTTTATTAAACATATACTTTAGAATCATAGAATATCAGGGTTGGAAGGGACCCCAGAAGGTCATCTAGTCCAATCCCCTGCTCGAAGCAGGACCAATTCCCAGTTAAATCATCCCAGCCTGGGCTTTGTCAAGCCTGACCTTAAAAACCTCTAAGGAAGGAGATTCTACCACCTCCCTAGGTAACGCATTCCAGTGTTTCACCACCCTCTTAGTGAAAAAGTTTTTCCTAATATCCAATCTAAACCTCCCCCACTGCAACTTGAGACCATTACTCCTCGTTCTGTCATCTGCTACCATTGAGAACAGTCTAGAGCCATCCTCTTTGGAACCCCCTTTCAGGTAGTTGAAAGCAGCTATCAAATCCCCCCTCATTCTTCTCTTCTGCAGGCTAAACAATCCCAGCTCCCTCAGCCTCTCCTCATAAGTCATGTGTTCTAGACCCCTAATCATTTTTGTTGCCCTTCGCTGGACTCTCTCCAATTTATCCACATCCTTCTTGTAGTGTGGGGCCCAAAACTGGACACAGTACTCCAGATGAGGCCTCACCAATGTCGAATAGAGGGGAATGATCACGTCCCTCGATCTGCTCGCTATGCCCCTACTTATACATCCCAAAATGCCATTGGCCTTCTTGGCAACAAGGGCACACTGCTTTATTTAAACTACTGATGCAAAGTTAAAAGCAAGTGGCCTTTATTTAGGCATACAAAGATAAAACAATGCAGAAGCTTTGTCTGCATTTCCTTTACCTGACTTTCGTAAATATTTTGCCTTTTTAAACCTGTAGCTTTGGGTTTTGTACTTTAGGTCAGTTTAAAAAAAAAAAACTCCCCTTCTAACATCCCACAAAAATTAGTTTATTGACAAACATTCCACTAGTTGTGGTGGAAAATCTGGACCACGTACAAGGTTCCAGTGAATTCTCCACTGCTCTATAATCCTACAGGTTTATAGCACTCACTCAATCTTAACTTGGTCCCCTAATATTTGCAAAAGTATATACAAAAGTTACAATAGCAAGTTCCTAAAATTATAAAATCTTTCTATTCCATGAATTCTTATCCAACATGCTATAACATTTAATATATCCTGCAACATTGTCACTTGATTCTGCAACTTCATCGGGCGCAATGTTGGCACAACTTGTCTTCAAGAGTGGGACCTTGCTCCCTGTGAAACAGTGTTCATTGCTTAGTTGCTACATAATGCAAAGTGCACATACGTTTACATAATTTTAATCAACATGAAACAGATCTTCCATTCCAGTTCTTTAATAAAAACATTGTTCTGCTTCTCCTACACTTTGATCTGAGAGAATATTTTGAGCTCTGATATAACTTCAGTTACCCGAGGATTACTTTCGTTTTGAAATCTTTACTATGTATTAAATAATGTGTAATAAAAGATATGTCCAATATTTCTATTAGAGATTAGAAAAAGGGGACATAATTAAATAGGATGGGACAGCAGTGAGTGAAAGGTCATACTGCACTGAGAAATTAGTTGGAATCTTTCAATCTTAATTTTGAGGCTTTTATCCTTCTCTTAAAAGGGGCATAATTTTTATAAAGGGTGAATTCTTTTTTGGGGGAACGTGATTTCATTTAAATACACTTAAATCACATTGCCTTCAATAAAATGTGTTTTCGTGGGGAATATATCTATGTATGTAGAGATAAATAGTAATGCTTGACAAGCTGGGGTGTAAATGTACCTTGCTGTGCATTAACTGTCTGTGTGGACCACACTCTAAAAGTTCCCTAGAGTGTGCTTTGGTCTACTCCCATTTCACTAGGGAAGATTTAATGCACAGTAACGGGGTCCACATGACAGTTAGTGCATGGCATACTAGTATTAGGTAGATTTACACCCCAGTTTGCTCTGCATTAACTGTTTGTTTAGGTAAGCCCTGTAACTTTAAACCTTGTTTTAGATATGAACTGTACTTTCAGCCTGCTCCTGTGTTTGGATTAACTGTGTCTGGCCAATCCAGTTAGAACTTCAGGTCAAAAGGCTGGCTGAACAATTTAGAATTCTAAATTAACTGCTTCCTTCTTTCCCTCATTAGTGTACTTCCATTTATTAGCCTTGTCTTATTAGTTCCCGGTCTAACTAATAATTTACTAAAGAGTGCCTCTGTTTTTCTCCCTCTTCAGACCTCTGACGGAGGAAGAAATTGCTGCTCTGAGAGAGAGACATTATGATTCCATTGCTGAAAAACAGAGAGCATTTGATATGAAACTTCAGTCAGAGGTAGATAATTGTGATGGTTCTATGACTTGGATAGTTTTATGATTACAAATAATGGCCTATTTAAAAATGAAGCAAAACAAGTTTTAACTTGTGGCAAATCATTGTTCTTGCATTTATCAGTTAACAGGATTTTTAGTTGTCCAGGTACTGTAGCTGTGCAATTAAGTGTGTGAAAGATGATCACTTAATTCTTTTACTGCTTAATTAAATGGAAAATATAATAAATAAGGTAGATAATCCTCTAAGAGAGCTGTTAAATTCAAACTATGCCAGCCTTTTTTCTTTGGAAAGGAAAAATGTGCTGTGTGTTTTATTCAGCTTATTTAGTGGAGAGGGGCGAAAACTTTTTTTTAAATGAAAGAACCTAATTCATCATGTCTGCTTTTAACATCCTATCCCATTCACTAATTTCCATATCATATTCCATTAATTGTTATCACTTCCAGATAAACACCTCTTTAAATACAAATGCATCTCATGTTTAAAACTATTTATATAATTTATATGGTCCTCGGTAAAACGCCCTTATTTATTTAAAACAGCTCACTATTTTCCCAGGAGTCTTTGTTTTAACAGGGAAATGTATATCCGACTCAATTTCAATAGTTGTTTGAAAGAAGAAACTTGCAGACTCTCAATACTTTGCATATAATTATGATCAAGAAAACGGTTTCTGACTATACAGTCTGATAGTTTGCTTTTTGTTTGTCTTTTTATGAGTAACTTTTTCTTTTAATTTAGTAAACTTATGTTTTTATTCATAGGAAGATAGATAGGTTCTGCTTTTGTTAACCCTTATTATTTTGTTCATATACAGTTAGCCTTACAAGAGGAGAAGTTAAGAATAGAAGAAGAGGCTTTATATGCTGCACAACGTGAAGCAGCCAGGGCAGCAAAGCAGAAAAAGCTCTTGGAGGTGAGGGGAAAAAGACCCCAATACATATCAGAGCTTCTGTTCTATATTTTTTTGTACACAGACTGTCGTAGTTTCATTTATTTTCTCAGAAGTAATTTCTGAGATGCAGCTTGGTTTGTAGTAGTGTCTGTTTTCATGCATAGTCCCTGAAGTCTAATATCAAGTATTTTTATAGCAGAGTAGCGCATGTGTTGCATAAAACATTTGTGCCTGTGAATAGTAGCAGTGTTAAATGCCTAGTGCCTGTTGCTATTGAGATTGGGGTCAGCTGATAACACTTAGCCTGGATGTCTTAAAAAAGAAAAATGGCTTCTTGTTTTCTGTTTATCCAGTAGACAGTTGCTGGTCTGTCTTCCATGATACTTTGACTTCTTCATGCAAGTGTGATTATATGAATAATACTGTATTTTAACCCATAAGTGTTAGTACATATATTTTTCATCTCAATTCCTTAGCTAAAAGATGAGTATAAATTGTCTAATTATATGAAGTGTCTGCAAATTTAAAAGAACACTTAGAACTGTATGTCTAACTTTTTTCAACTTCCATTTAAATGCTGTTTGTGGCAGCAGTTACGGTATGCCCAAGAGAACAAAACTTCCCAAACACAGTGTACATGTTAATTACAGACAGTTTTAAAAGCCCCTCGGTAGACTCACTGAAGAAAGTAAAACTCATGAAAAATTAATCCCTGCAGTCAACAAGATATTAGGTCGGAGCCCATTTTAGGACTAACTACCATTCAACCTTTTCTTATTGAAAAGTTAATGCAGTAGTTCACTAAATGAACAGTGTTACCAGCAAGAGTCTGACATGACCATCATGGCCAGCTCACAGTGCATGGGACACTGTAGGGCAAAGATGAGATTTAGTTTTCTTCCAATATCAAATGTTCTCAGATCATTTCGAGATGCCTTTCTGTTCTGCATTTCTTTCCTATTATTGTGTTCGCTATTCTTTCTCAATGGGTTTTTCTCGCCTTCTGCTTTTTCTTATTCTTCTGTATTTGGTCTCTTTCAGGTCATCATCAGTAATTTTGTTTTATGCGTAGGACTGTAAAAGTTCTTTGGGAGAAACCCTACCAAATGCCCTATTCTGAAAACTGGTCTTTCTTATCCAGATCCTAGGACATCTATAATATACCTTCTTTGTTTTTAAACAGACTACCTTGTTGAAAAAGGTTGAATGACATTAATCAACGGGGAATGGAGATGGGGAGGAAATTAGTTACTCTTCAAAAAGTCTCTAAATCTTATTTTTGTTTTTTTATTTAAAAATATAGTCATGTGGCTACAATTAGAAGAAAACAGTAGAGTTCTAATCTTGTTTTAGCCATCTTAAAAGCACATTTCAGGGATATGAGCTCAAGTTCTGACATGGTCCAAATAAACTAGAATTCAGTTATATAAAATTCACAATCCAACTCTGCCTGCCTGAAACTCCATGCTTGCGCCAGGCATCAGTCTGTTAATTCAACAAACAGGTGAATCATTGGAAATATGACAACATCTGAACCTGATTTTGACCACTGTTGCTTATGTTAAATACATCTTGTATAGTTTATTTGTTTCCAATAGAAATAGAAGCTAAGGTACTAAATTGAGTACAGGTGGCATAATCGAGTTCTGCAAAACAATAATTTTTAAATACTTGCATATCCTGGGACTTACCTACTAACTTATAGAATAAGTTTAAAGATGGACCTACTTCATAAAGTAGAAACCAGACATCCAGTTTGGCTTAATATATGTGATCCTTTCCTTCCTTCAGTCCACTTTCTCTCATTCACCAAGTATCAATAAGAAATGCACTTTCTCCGTAACTTCCCAGTTCATCACTGCATTCAGAATCTAGTTGTGCTAATACTTTACAGGCAAAATACTCCACAGTGGGAAAATGCTTTTGTGCCAAGAAAAGGCATTGTCATATTAGAGTTTTGTATTAAATAAAAATTTTCACTAGATCCATTCAGCCATTCAGAAGGAGCTCTACTACAGCCATGTAGTGCTTGAATGAATCTTTTGTTTTACTACTTGCACTTTTTTGTCCTTTTTCTCTCCTTTATGTACCTGAGAAAATATATTTGCTACACACCAGGGCTCTAGCTACTAAAAATTAAACTTGCTCATTTCATTTCAGCTTTCAATATAATCAAAGTGAAGTCACACAGATAAATTTAATTTAATCAGTTATGAAACTGCCCAGCAGGTACCTGGATCACCTTACATTTTTATCCCCAAATTTTTCTCTCTGGGATTGTGGGGATGTAGATGTTAGTCATCTTAAAACCAAAAACTGTTCAAAAATGAGTGAAACCCTATGCCCATAACATATACATCTTGAGGCCATAAAAGGAATCCTATTACTAGGTTGTATCTCATTCTCAATCTGTTTACACATAAGGATACAAGGAAGGCTTTAAACTGTAGAATTTAAAGGAACCAACAAATAGTAACGTTTTTGTTCATGCAAATCAAACACTTTATCCTGGTATAGAAATATATGTGGCAATATTCCTTGTCCTGAGGTAATGTAAAGAAATAAAATTGCTTCTCTAAAAGTAGATTTTCTTTGTCAGATTAAAGATGTTTTCTATTGAACACATACTAAGGACTGAACAAAACATCCAAATCATCATATCTCAACTGCTTTTAGAAAGTACTATGCTGAGATAAGAATAAGAAGGAAAGACGCTATGGTGAATAACCACTCCTATATTCATGTTTGCAAGTAGGATGGTGCCTCATGATCACATTTCTTGTGTGCAAAATTGGTTAAAATGAAGAAGGCTCTTTCCCTTCCAGTTAGCAGGGACTGATACTGCTGTGGAGAGAATATATTCATCCTCTGAGATTAGAAAGAAAAAGTTATTTTTATCTAACAAATACTTCACCTACTTAAGAATCTGTATTAATATAATCAAAGTCCTGTCTCTTTCACAGCTGAATTGGGGGAACCGGGATAACATTTTTAGGCCTTGTAACAGGGAGGTAGTCAATCACAGGAGGTTGAAACTTGTTTTAATATTTTTAACAATGATACGAAGGGTATTAAGTCTATTTTTTCAGAGTGATTCTTGAAAACTTCCTGATATATGATAACTTACACTTTGTTTGGTAGCCACATAGAGTACAGAGGATTATGCAGCGAGCACCAGCAGCTAATAATGGAGAATATCAAAGGTAAGATGTGAAACAAAATACTGTTTTTTTTATTAATGACTAGTAGTGGGGGAGTTTTCAGCATCTGAGGATGTATTTTTTCCCATCTTCCCCCAAACATGTCATTTGCGCTCTTCTCCAGAGCTTCAAGATATCTGGCTGTTTCAAGTAAGGGGATATTTTAATTCTGAAAATGCTGTTTTCCGCTCGCCACTAAAAAGTAGCCATTCTTACATGTCGTCATCATATTTACACGCCATATAGCAAGGATAGATTGCATTCCTACTGCCATCTTCTGGAGTTACTGGAATAATGCATTCAAAATGCTATTCCAGTCTAGAGTTATGCGAGTTATCCCTTCCTCTGATGTCTTTCGTGATTCAAGTTTGAAATCTGCATTATAAATGTAAGTTAATCAAACATTAATAGAATGGTGTCAGAGCTTTGTGCTCTCTGCTGTCACAAAACATTTTGTTTCTTATTAGCACTAGTTTGGGGAGAGGTATGTGGAAGAAATCAAAGAAACAATATTGGGAGCAAATGGGCAAAGAAAGTGAGCCACGCAGCCACATTTTGAATGGATCAGAGGGGAATTATATACTTGTTAAGGAGACCAGAGAGAATATGGTTGCAGTAATCACAGTGAGAGATGAAGAAGGACTGAACTAGTTTTAGTTTTGTGCATGGGGTGAAGGAGTGGGGATTTTTGAAATACCATGGAGGAAGAAAATGAGGATTTGGATACTGGATGTACAGGGTAAATGAGAGAGGGAGGAGTCAAAGATAAACTGCTAGGTTATGGGTCTGAGATGAGTGAGATGAAGGTGGTGACAGAGAATGAGGGAAGAGGAGTGGATTTGGGAGGAAGGTCCAGGGAGTCCAGATTTAGCCATGTTACCTTACCTCCAAATTATCAAAGGAGATGTTAGAGAGCAGGGATGCAGGATTGGAAGGAAGGAGACAAATATGGAATGGATTGTAATTTTGCAAGTCATCTGCATAAAGATGGTAGCTAAAACTGTGTGAGCAGACATGATTTCCTAAGGTTAACAAGAGGGTGCCCTCTACAATGCTCTGTGAGATATGAGAACCTATTGAAAGATGCTAATTCATATAGACTTTTTAAACTGGTGGACCTATAAATATGCTAGAAAACTGTAAATGCTAGGCTTTATCACTGATACATACCTCTGGATGTACCGGTAATAAGCAAAATGTTGTTTTTACAGCTCAGTGGCAGAGGAGGAGTTTGATTGGTCTTTGAGAAATATAAAGATCCACTATGAAGCTTTTCGAAGTAGCAGTAAGTGATTTTCAAAATACATTTTGAAATTAGATGTTCTATAATTAACTGTGGAGCAAATTGTGTTTGAATATCCTTCTCCGAAGAAAAATCTCCTTGTTTTCCCACGTTTGGGTCTATGTCTGTATAAGACAAGGTAGGAACTTCTGTTCCTCTTGGATTTTTGATCTGTGGAGGCATCTGGACATGTACCTCATATACCCTTCAGACAGGTGCCTATACTGTACCCAGTACTCAAAGTTGTTTCATCTAATAAAACGAGTTTTGAACTAGCACCCAAACTGAGCTCCTCAGGCTGACTTCTACTGGCTATCCAGGGTTTTCTAGGCACTGAAGCGGCAGTGTCCCACGGAGACATACAGAGAACACCTAGGTGTTGCAGGAGAAGGTCCTGTATATCGGTGGTTTTCAACCTGTGGTCTGCAGATTCCTGAGGGTCCGCAGACTATCTAAGATTTCCATTCCAAATTTTTTAGGGGTCCGCAAATGAGAAAAGGTTGAAAGCCATTGCTGTATATGGTACTCTCACCCTTGAATCAGTTCTGACCCAATACCCCCTTCTTATTAATTGGCTCTGCATTGTTGGAAGCGCAGTCTCTGAAGTATTAAAAGAGTATCTGGCTGCTTGTAATTCAGGATCCCGTAGAACTCTAGAAATCCTTGTTAACCCTGGCCAGATTCCAACTTGGATAATTGCATTCTACATCTAAATCCCTGTATAGTTTTAATTGGATACAGTATTCTTCACTGTCCTACCTTAATTGTTTAATGTTGTGAACAGTTAAAAAGCTGCTGTATGCCCTCCCAAAGGAGGATACATTTCATTAAATTGGTGGATGGAAGCGATTCATCGAATAGTGATGCTGAGGCTCAATTTTAGTTAGTTTGCAAGGTGCTTAGATTCTAAGTAAAAGTTGCTGTGGATGTGTGATAGTTTTGGCTATTAAATCTTGAACCCAAATACATATTTGAATTAAAAACACCTTCTTGATGTAGGACTTTCATCTGATGCTACCATTCTGACACCAAACACGGAGAGCAGCTGTGACTTAATGACCAAAACAAAATCAACAAGTGGAAATGATGACAGCACTTCACTAGATTTAGAGTGGGAAGATGAAGAAGGTACTTACTCTGTCATACAGTAGTGTTTGTCATACACTCTTATATAGGTCAAAAACTTTAACCATTTCAATGACTTATGCATTGTATGCAGTTTGACAACACCAAAAAATGCTGTCTCTTCTAAAGAAGAAAATGGCTTAAAACATTTTGAGCATGCTTTTTTAAATATGTGCTTTATTCTCTTTTAAGATCACACTGTTGGTGAAGATGATGATTTTGTCATAGGAAGATTAGCTTAAACAAGTTTATTAGAATAACTCTAATATTTTCACCTGTCGGAGCAATGAAAACTAAGTTCCTTAGAGTCTTTAGCAAATTTGCTTCAGGTTTCAACATTGCATGGTAACCTTACTAGTAGTAAACCTGCAACAAAATATAACAGTAAAGAAATACTGCCCCCTTGTGAGCAAGTAGCATCAGGAATCTATTACAGCTGCTTGCTTTTGTTGTTACACTACCTAGGATGTAAAAACAATTAATTTAACGGGTATGCACATGGGTATGCACTGTTTAAAGGTAAATATATTCCTTACCATTTACGTGGGGTTTCCATTCTTCACACGCAACCCAAAAATGTAGTGATCTGGAGAAGATCTACGACTTGGTCTTAAATTCACTTTTGAAAGGCAGAATTTTCTTTGAGCTCTCTAAAAATATCCAGGTTCATATTTGAGCATATTTCTGTATTGGGGAATTTCTGCTGAAGTAACCTGAGCCTAGATGATGATTTTTTTGTATATAGTATTAAGTACCTTGAACTTCATCCATTAGCGGATTGGCAGCCAGTGCGGAGAGTAGGTGTTATTTGCTCTCCTTGGCCTGCCCCACACAGAAGGCAGGGGAAAATTGCATTTTGGACTTCCTCAAGCTTCTGGGTTCCTTTTACAGTCTTTGGTAAAGCCCACTGCTATATCCAATCAAGTGATTACAAAAGCATAGATGAACAAGGTGGGTTACATCTGAAGGGGAGGTGCAATTTTCACCAGCTATAGTTGAGGGGGGAAATGCTGTTGTGGTGACTGAAAAAATGTTGGCAATCTCCAAGCAATAAATCTAACTAGACCACAAACTTGTGGACTGCAATGGTTGGCAGTCTTCAACTGATAAAGCAGTTACAGATTAAGCTCGCATTTTATTGCGACCCTTGCCAGAAACATCACTTCCATTTTGATTGTGTTTGATCTCTAGCCAGCTGGCTAAATAATGGAAAATTTATTCACATATAATTTGATGAAAAATTGCCAACATTCAAAACTAAGTATTCAAGTAGTTATAATTGAGATCCCACTTTTTGCCAGTCATTGAGTGATTCTGCCAATGGTGGTATCTGGAACATATGAAAGGGGAGCGTATATTTAAAGTTGAATGTGATGGCTGATCACACATATCATTGCATGGGCTCCCCAGTCGTGTTAAATCTTGAATAGAAAAAATGGCAGGGTGGATCCTTGAGAAATCCCTGCAAGGGAGAAGGCATAGTTTCAGTGCTCTGAAAACAATTAGAAAAGACTGAGCATGACCATCTGAATGGATTCTATCCACCCCGTCCAGGTCTCTCAGTTGTCAGCACCACTGATGCAGTGTGGATGAATGTCTGAGAAGTATCAGCAAAGATATCTGTCCATTTGCCCCGCATAGGCTGTTTAGGTACTGTGTTCATGGGTGCTATCAAAAGACGTGTGTAAGGGAGAGACTTGATCTCATACCACAAAAAGCCAGAAAGGTTAGAAGGGTATGGGAAAAACTTTGCGTGCTCAAGTTCTTATATATGATCTGGTTATACATTTTTGCTCTTAATGAACAAGGGATTGTTTGATTGTAGACCAAAAGTATACCAATTTTTAAAATGGGTCTCTGCCTAATGGCCACCTAACTAGAATAAACCTTGGGAGGGAATTACACTTTGCGTGACCAAAAGAAGTTTCCAAGTTAGGGAGCTCTGAACTAAGGCTTCTGGAAATGTCTAAGTTTGTCTATGTACCTTTTTACTTCATCTTCAAATTAGATGATTAGTGGTGGTGGTAAATATTTATATTATGATAGTGCCCAAAGACACCCATTGGGATTGGGGCAGCATTGTGCTGGGTGCTCTACAAACACAAAAGAGAGAATCCCTGCCCTATAGACGAAGAGTAGACCAAGGGAAGGAGATGAGGATACATCATAAATCAGATGAGTACCATGAAGAATAGGCAATATAGTAATGTTGTGGTATCACTGTATATATTTGCAGCATATTTAATCCTGTTTGGTATAGTAATTTGGTAAAGTGTTGCAGCCAACGCAGGGGAATTCTAGATAAAGAGAAACTGATCTCAGAAGTAAAAGTTTACAGCTTAGGTACAAGTGATCATGACTTGATCACATTTATAATGTGCAAACAGAAGAAAGTCCAGTCTAGTAAAAAATAAGAAACACACACACACATATATATATATTTAGTTAGTACTTTAATAGGGTCAATTTCACAAAGCTGAAAACAACTGTGAGCCAAATCTGCTGGGAGGAAGAATTTAATTAGAAAAATGTGAATGATGATTGGGAGTCATTTAAGAACTTTATTAGATGCTCAAAAATCCACAACTGAGGAAGAAGGCTGTCCTGGTTAAAAAACCAGCGTGGCTTAATGGAGAAGTGAAGGCAGCTATAAAAAAAATATTTAAAACAAATGGAAAAAAGGGGGAGGTTCATAGTAATGGCTACAATCAGAAATTAGGAATTGTAGAAAATTTGATAAGGAAAGGTACGAAATTTCTCCTTGTATCCAGGGCCAGCAGAGTTAAGGAAAATAAGGAGTTTTTTAAAGTATATAAAGAATCCTGACAAAGGTATTAGTCCATTACTAGAGGGAAATGGTAGCATTATCAGTAATAATGCAAAAAGGCAGAGTATTCAAGAAATATTTCTGTTCTGAATTTTGGGGGGAAACAGATGATGCAGTTTCATCTTAAAGTTACTCCTGGGGGGATTCTGTGCCAAAAAATTAAGAAGTCTGTGCACAATATTTTAAAATTCTGCATATTTTATTTGTCAAAATAACACAATATAATCACACTAGTTTCAATTATTTTGGTAATTTATTTCAAAATACCTGTCAGCAAGTATGTCTGTAATAATACAGACAACAAAAAAGATTCAGGAAATGTTTTTGGACAAATAGATTTACTGCACATATTAATACAGAACTTTAAGTAATTAATTTAAACTAGAATACAGAAACTTATTTCCTGGACCCCTCAGAAGCAGTGCAAAGACTTAAGGGGAGTCAGGGGTAACGGAGGAGCTGATAGAGATGGAAGTAATTGCTGGGAAGGAGCCTGGAGTTAACCTGGAATGTTGTTGGGTGTGGGTGGGAGAAGTATGGAACGGGGTTTTTGTTTTTGGTGTTTTGGGGGGGGGGGGGGTTAGGGAGTGGAGGATCCTTCTCTATGCAGACCCTGGCTGACCTGTAGCCTCTCCCATTCAATCAAGCACATCTTCTCTGTCCCCATGTGTCCCTGTCCCCCCCCCATATCCCATGCCTTCTCACCTGGCCCCACAGGCAGGGAACTGTGAGGAATGCAGCCTCTCGGCCTTCCTATCCACTGCTGCCTGTTACATCCAGTGAGCCGGCTGTCCTTTGTTCTGGTGCCACAGCAGCCCTAGTAGGCGAAAGATGTAACTGCAGCGTCTCTCCGGCAGAATGTATTTTCTGCAGGGGACATGAATTCTGCATGTGTGCAATGTTGCAGAATTCTCCCAGGTGTATACAGTGATGGTAACACGCTTTCCATTTCACTAATATCTTTGGAAGTTGTTAAAACAGAAGCTACTAAAGTTGGACATTTTTAAATTAGCGGGTCTAAATATCTTGCATCCAAGAGTTTTAAAAGAGCATGCTGAGGAGCTCATTAGACTGTTAATGTTGATTTTCAATGAGTCTTTGAATACCAGGGAAGTTCCAGAAGACTGGAAGAAAGCTAATTTTTAAAAAGGGTAAATGGGATGACCTAGGTATTCATAGGCCCATCAGCCTGACATCAATCCCAGGCAAGACAGAGTAGCTAATATGGGACTCGATTAATAAAGAACTGAAGGAGGGTAGTGTAATTAATGCAAATCAGTATAAGTCTATGAAAAATAGATCCTGTCAAACTAACTTGACATCTTTTTTTGATGAGATTACAAAATTTGGTTGATAAAGGTAATAGTGTTGATGTAATATATTTGGACTTCTATAAGGCATTTTACTTGGTATCGCACAACATTTTGATTAAAAAACTAGAATGGTATAAAATTAACATGGCACACATAAAATGGATTACAAACTGGATAAATGATAGGTCTCAAAATGTAAGTATAAAAGGGGGATCATTGAGTGCGTATGTCTCCAGTAGGGTCCTGTGGGAATTGGTTCTCGGCCCTATGCTATTTAACATCTTTATCAATGACCTGGGAGAAAACATAAAATCATCACTGATAAAGTTTGCAGATGACACAGATTGGGGAAGTGGTAAAAAATGAGGAGGACAGGTCACTGATCACGAATGATCTGGATTGCTGGAGGCCAGTTTACCAAGCAAACAATAACATATAGCCATATTAAAACCCAAAATGTATATGACAGGTTCAATCACAGAAACCCTCTTGGGACTGTCACCTGATGTGCTGACACTACCTCTGAGCCTGTTTTCTCTGCCAGTTTGGGCTTCCAGAACCCTGCCTTGTCGAGCCAGACATGCCAGTCTGCTCCAACATTGTCGAGCCAGACATGCCAGTCTGCTCCAACACAGACCCAGGGTCTGAACCACATGCCCCAAAGCTGAGGCTTAACTGAAAACAGCTTAAGAAGTGCTCCTGTCTTTAGCACCCAGACACCCAGCTCCCAATGGGATCCAAACCCCAAATCAGTTTTACTCTGTATAAAGCTTACACAGGGTAAACTCATAAATTGTCTGCCCTTTATAACACTGATAGAGAGAGATGCACAGCTGTTTGCTCCCCCAGGTATTAATTACTTACTTTGGGTTAATTAATAAGAAAAAAGTGATTTTAATAAGTATAAAGAAAAGGAGTACTTGTGGCACCTTAGAGACTAACCAATTTATTTGAGCATGAGCTTTCGTGAGCTACAGCGAAGTGAGCTGTAGCTCACGAAAGCTCATGCTCAAATAAATTGGTTAGTCTCTAAGGTGCACAAGTACTCCTTTTCTTTTTGCGAATACAGACTAACACGGCTGTTACTCTGAAACCTTTTATTAAGTATAAAAAGTAGGATTTAAGTGGTTCCAAGAAATAGACAGAACAAAGTAAATTACCAAGCAAAATAAAACAAAACACGCAATCTAAGCCTAATACAGTAGGAAACTGAATACAGGTGAATCTCACCCTCAGAGATGTCCCAATGAGCTTCTTTCACAGACTGGACTCCTTCCTAGTCTGGGTCCAGCAATCACTCTCACCCCCATAGTTACTGTCTTTTGTTCCAGTTTCTTTCAGGCATCTCTTGGGGGTGGAGAGGCCATCTCTTGAGCCAGCTGAAGACAAAATGGAGAGGTTTCCAGGGCCTTTTATATTCTCTCTCTTGTGGCCAGAAACCCCTTTGTTCTTCTGTGCAAAGTCACAGCAACAAGATGGAGTTTGTAGCCACCTGGGCAAGTCACGTGTCCATAAATGATTCAGCTTTTTGCAGTCCGACTCCATTGTTTACATGTTAGTTTGAACGTTCTCAGGGAAGCTCAGATGTGGATTGACGTCTCCCGAAGTCCATTGTCAGTTAAGTGTTTCTTGATAGGGCACTTACTGGGAATAGTCTTTTCTCAAGAAGCTGACCAAATGCTTCATTGAGGCTACTTAGAATCAAACACATTGAGATACAAGTACATCGCCAATATTCATAACTTCAAATACAAAAATGACACACGCATACAGACAGCATAATCGTAACCAGCAAACTACAGCCTTTCCATAGAAATCCCACTTGACCTCCTCTGTACAAGACCTGGTGCAATCATAAGACCCTGTTTGCAATAATCTATACGGTCACAGTTCATGTCAATAACGTCACAGTATACATCTGGAAACAAAGAACATAGGCCATATTTATGGGAGGGGGAACTCTATTCTGGGAAGCTAGGACTCAGAGGGATCCTGTGACTTTGAAAAAGATTTGTGTGTTGTGGTGGATAATCAGCTGGATGTGAACTCCCAATGTGACACTGTGGCCAAAAGAGCTAACATAATCCTGGAATGCATAAACAAGGGAGTCTCAGGTAGGGGTATAGATGTAAAATAACTTTTGTATTTGGCACCGGTGCAACCACAGCTGAAATACTGTGTCCAGTTCTGGTGTCCATAAATCAATATTGATAAATTAGAGAGGATTCAGAGAAGAGCCATGATAATGAAGCTCAATATATTTAGCTTAATGAAGAGAAGGTTAAGGGGTGACTTGATTACAGACTGTAAGTACCTACATGAGGAACACACATTTTAATAATGGGTTCTTCAGTCTAGCAGGGAAAGGTATAACATGATTCAATGGCTGGAAGTTGAAGCTAGACAAATTCAAACTGTAAATAGGGCTAAACTTTTAATGGTGAGAGTAATTAACCCTTGGAACAATTTACCAAGGGTTTTGGAGGATTCTACATCACTGATATTTTTAAAATCAAGGTTTGATGTTTTTCTAAAAGATTTGATCTAGGAATTATTTTGTGGAAGTTCTATGGCCTGTGTTATACAGGAGGTCAGGCTAAATTATCACAATGGTCCCTTCTGGCCTTGGAATCTATGAATTTACTGATATTTTCTATTCTTGCTCTGAATATCTTTATGGTAAACCAGTTATCATATACAGTTAACATGGAACTGCAATAAAGTTACACTGTCATTTCACCCTGTTAACAGTATAACTTGTTAAAGGGTATTGTGTATCTTTATTGATGATCCCTTCAGTGAAGTATCAGTAGCAAAGGAACAAACACATTGAAATATTGCTAAACTTCACAAGTACCCAGTGAGTGTATGTAAACTTTTTCCTGGAATCTCAAGTGATAAAGGATGTTTATTATATAAATAGCATACTGAAGCAGAATCACTGCAGTAATCCAAGTTTAAAATGAGAGGGATTTAAGTAGGAGGGTAGGGTAAACCTGACCATGATGAGAACGGAGGCACAGTAAATCTTTTATTGCCTCTGCAAGCTTTCACTTCTTTCCATTGGCAGAGGAGACCAGTTTATACACCTCTGGAGATGATTCAGCATTGCTAACATCCCTTTCTTTTGAAAAATCTCTAACATGTTATGCAGATTTCTGATCAACTTGGCTTAGTTTGTGTATGTATCTTGAATGTGTCCTTTTTGTACAAAGCAAAATGATATCTATGTCTAGGGAAACACAATTTCTGAACTTCAGAATCTGTTTCACTCGGTGAAGATTTCTTCTGATATCACTGTGTCAGGAAGCTACAAGCAGATACATTACTACAGATCATATGATTTAATAGGAGTTAGTAGCTTCCACAGAAATTTCATGGAACCAGAAAGTTTTTAATATGTTTGTATGTGTTCAGAATACATACATACCTATCAAGTAGAAAGGGCAGCAGATTGGTTAGTGGGAAAGACTGTCAACAAAACCTGATCCTATTTAGCCATTCTTCTTGCTTTCTTTAATTTAAAAAAAAAAAAAAGGCTAGAAAATGGTTTCATTATCAAATAGGTAATCAATTTCCTTGGCCAATTAGCGACTAAAGAAGGTATTGATGCCCTTACTTGCATTGACATGAACAAGACTGCTTGCAGAGTGAGGTACTAGTCAATAAGAGCAAAAGTATCAGAATCTGGCTCTAAATGTGCTTTTGTTAGCATTTAATATTTTAGCAAAAATGTGGTGACACATTCTCCTCTTCCCATGGTGTCCTCCCCCCCCCCCCCCCCAAATAAAGTTATGGCTTAAAAAGTTATCTTAAATTGCAGGCATGAACAGAATGATTCCATTGAGAGAGCGCTCTAAAACAGAAGAAGATATACTCCGAGCAGCACTAAAATTTAGCAGCAAGAAGACAGGAAGTAATCCAGCCTCAGCTTCTGATGATTCAAATGGCTTGGAGTGGGAGAATGATTTTGTTAGTGCTGAGATGGATGATAATGGCAATTCAGAGTATGCTGGATTTGTGAATCCTGTAATAGAACTGTCTGTGTCAGACATAAATAAATCCGATGCTGATCAACAAGACAGATAGTGAAATTGTGTGGCTGTTATTAATGGCAAAATGTTTAAAGTTAAATGGAGTGTACAGAATTTGAGTCTTGTGTAAGAAAAGGAAGGAAACCATATTGTAATGCTCTTTAGCAAGGAATTGGAATGATTGGTTATCTGAATTACTTCAGAAATTAAGTGCAATTTTATCATCTACCTTATGTTTATGAAAATACTGGGTTGATTCTGTCTTGTATATTTCTGGAAATTTGGGATTCGTATAAAATTATCTGCACTAATTTAAGATTCTCAGCTTGACATAAACTATATTTTAAGTAGCCACTTTGTTTCAATATATTTCTCCTGATTTTGTTTTACATGTTGTCATTGGGCTAATATTTATCTTGAAAATAAATATTTTACATAAGTTATCTTAATACTTGAATGTATTAAGTGGTGGATAAGGTTCTGTGGCCTGCAATATGCAGGAGGTCAGACTAGATTATCATGATTGTCCCTTCTGACCTTAAAGTCTGAGAATGTGAAAGCGGTGAGAGATTACTTTTATAAATTGCCTTTTTCCATTATCTATTTGATTTGTTCTTTAACATAGGGAGGCAGAGTCAATAGTTTATCACATGTGAAATTGTCTATTTGCAATTGGTTTATTACCTCAACTTATTTCTTACCTTTTTTTATTTGAATTATTTTCTTGTACCAATCATGATGATTCCAATGGCATATCCAATAGAAATTTTTTTTACAAGATTTATCATGTAAAATGATGTATTGTGTTTAGTGAAAGTATGCTACCTAAAGATTTTTTATAGCTGCTTTTCTGTACTTTAACAGAAAATTTTGAAATTTGAAAGTTAAAGGAAAATTTAGAGGACCAAAGGTTCAGTTTTTTTCACTTACAACTCATCAAATGCTGCTAGTACCAAAGTGTTTAGAGATATTTTTAACTTGTGGAATACTTACAATTTCTTCAGCTTTGTATGAATAATTCTTAAAGGCAGCATTATGTGAACAGACTTGCAGTATATGGAAAAAGAAAAGGAGGACTTGTGGCACCTTAGAGACTAACCAATTTATTTGAGCATAAGCTTTCGTGAGCTACAGCTCACGAAAGCTTATGCTCAAATAAATTGGTTAGTCTCTACGGTGCCACAAGTCCTCCTTTTCTTTTTGCGAATACAGACTAACACGGCTGTTACTCTGAAACCTGTCAGTATATGGAAAAAATCACTTCTCTGCTAGGTTTGAAAGAAAGAGATCCTAAAACAGAGTTCCCGTGGCTATATTAACACAAACAGGAATACACATCCTTTCCAGTTACAAAGCAGTACATTGAACTTTTCAAGCTTTCCTGTGCTTTGTAACTGGATAGTTACCATCGCTGATATGGGCTGAAACTTAAGCAGGCCTTCAGTTACCGCTGCCCATGTGGAATCTGATGCATAATTTCCCCTTACATTTTGATTATGAATTATATAAAACAAAAACTAACTGGAGAAACTGTGTAAAGCACAACTGTAAATGTGTTTTTTCTGAGCTAGCAGTAAAGCTTTACTCTCCTAATGTAAATTGTATGTTCCTCTATAGCGTCTTTCTGAATAAGGATTTTCATGTGTGGCTCTTTATTTTTAGCATAAAGGCAATGCACTTCCTCAAAGTTACAAAAAGCTACATCATCAGAAATAACTAAGTATATATTGTCTAAAGCGTGTCTAAAGCATTTAGATTTCTGAGCCCCTATAATATGGCAGGTTCATGGCAGTTTGATCTTCCTCATGCCTTTTATCTAAAATTAAAATACCAGACGCTTTGACTAAATATGTACATACAATGACACTTTAGGAAACAGCTAAATCTTTTAATGTATTTAACATTCCATTTCTTAATTTAAGTTGTAGCTATGTTGTTGGAAATATTTTAATGTAATATTTACATTTGCAATGCCGCTAATATGTTTTTTAAGAGTTTGTACGCATCAAATGTATATTTTTGTTTTGGTGTAAGCAACTACTGTGTAATGTTTTTCTTGACATATTCATATATTGAATTCTAAGGAAGGGCAACTTTCTCAAGCTGTAAATAAACTTTTTTTTTTTTACATGAAAACTAACCCACACAACCTTTGTCACTTTCTTCTCTTTAAAAACCCTGTTCTGCAAACCATGGTCACAAGAGAACTACTGTTGATGACAAAGGGTCTTGATTGCTGAGCAAGTAGAAAATCAGCAAGAAGGGGGAAGATATAACTTGGACTACAGATTATTTTATTATAGTGACACACATACTTTTAACCATGGTTATTAGTAGCATTCCACTTTCACAGTTAAATGAGTCACAATCATTTTGACTTAAAAATGACAATGGAGTCAGTATTATTCTTAAAATAATTTAAGAAAGATTGCTGAATGAGACAAACTGCTTTTAAACGGCCATTGAAACAGCTCTGCAATATGTATGCTCACACCCTTGAAACTGTATAAATTTACACAAGTATAATTTAAAATTGATTTTTGAAGGATGGAAATATCTTTACTTCATCATGTCAGTTACTGACTTCCTCCTTTTGTCTCTGTTTTAAGAGTGAAGCTGATGAAGTGGTAATGTATTTCTGCTTTTTTTAGAGAAGTTCTTTTTGTTTGAGAAAGTTACCAAAGTCATCTTTATATATGGGCTTTGGGTAAAAAACGGGAGAGGGAGTTTCCACTAAATTTGGAAAATGAAAGTAAAGTCGCTTTTCACTTTTTTCTTTATAGGTTATTTCAAGTCAACTTGAAAAACTAGTCAATATTGTAAACTTAAGGTTGCAACTAATAGTTTGTGGGGTTTTTTTTAAAAAAGTGTCCATGAGTTTTTATTGTAATAGGAACATTTCTAATAGAAGTCCTGAACTTGGAGTCAAATTTGAACTAGTAGTGTCTCTTCAAGATTCACCCTTCTTCCTGCAGGAAGTATTGTAGGTAAATTAGCCACTGCAGATTAAGAAAGCAGAGGGATTTTAGTGTGTTGCCCAAAATTGCACAGCGGTAGAGCAGTGATGATACACAATCACCTTGACTTGCAATTTCCTTTTGTAACTATTGGACAATACTGCCCCGCATAGTGAGAGAGCTGTTTGAGAAAGGAAAGTCTAACAAGATGCAGTAGTAGAGCAATAAGAGGGAACATGCACAGTCTTAGACTGCAGTGTTCCTTTGTTTTAGTCACTGTTAATACGTCTCATAATTGCTAAAATTCACTGTTGACCCCTTCCCATTTCTCTGATCTACTAAATTCTGCCAAAAGCTGTCATCTCTGCTATTACAGGGGATTAGAAGTAGCCAAAGCGGGTGGATAATCCTGATCTCATGATGCAAATATCACATTGTCCTTACGTTTTTTCTCAGTAGGATGTCAGGTTCACTGACTTAGGTGACTGCCTGAAAGAATTTATGTTGGAGATTAGTGTTTTAGTCGGAGGAGTTTTGTTTTCAATAAGTTAGGGCGCAGGTGATTGCAAATGATCACCACCACCCCAATTTTTGAAGACCATTTTTAGTTGGTGGTTCAAAGGTGGTAGATTTTTACTGTAGAACCACCCAGGCAGCCTCATCAGGACAGAGGATCAGTTGTGTCACTTTGTGGTCAAGTTGCTGCGCAGAATGATGCAAGCAATTCCACCAGTAAACCAAACAGTTTCCGTTCAAAAGGTTTATGCTATGTGCTTTAGTAAAATCCCACAGATACCATTAAACCACTGGTCATGTGCACTGGACATATTCAGCACTGTCAACTAGACTTCATAAAAAGAAAAGGAGTACTTGTGGCACCTTAGAGACTAACAAATTTATTTGAGCATAAGCTTTTGTGAGCTATAGCTCACTTCATCAGATGCATGTAATGGAAATACAGTGGGGAGATTTTATATACACACAGAACATGAAACAATGGGTGTTACCATACACACTGTAACAAGAGTGATAAGGTAAGGTGAGCTATTACCAGCCAGGGCGGGGGAGGGGACTTTTGTGGTGGTTTTCAAGATGGGCCATTTCCAGCAGTTGACAAGAACGTGTGAGGTGAGGGGGGAATAAACATGGGGAAATAGTTTTACTTTGTGTAAATGACACATCCACTCCCAGTCTTTATTCAAGCGTAAGTTAATTGTATCCAGTTTGCAAATTAATTCCAATTCAGCAGTCTCTCGTTGGAGTACATTGGCCAAACTGGACATTCTCTACGTAAAAGAATAAATGGACATACATCAGACGTCAAGAATTATAACATTCAAAAACCAGTCGGAGAACACTTCAATCTCCCTGGTCACTTGATTACAGACCTAAAAGTGGCAATTCTTCAACAAAAAAACTTCAAAAACAGATTCCAATGAGAGACTGCTGAATTGGAATTATTTGCAAACTGGATATAATTAACTTAGGCTTGAATAAAGACTGGGAGTGGATGTGTCATTACACAAAGTAAAACTATTTCCCCATGTTTATTTCCCCCACCCCCCTTACTGTTCCTCGCAAGTTCTTGTCAACTGCTGGAAATGGCCCATCTTGATTATAACTACAAAAGGTCCCACCCCCGCTCTCCTGCTGGTAATAGCTCACCTTTCCTAATCACTGTCGTTACAGTCTGTATGGTAACACCCATTGTTTCATGTTCTCTGTGTATATAAAATCTCCCTACTGTATTTTCCGCTACATGCATCCGATGAAGTGAGCTGTAGCTCACGAAAGGTTATGCTCAAATAAATTTGTTAGTCTCTAAGGTGCCACAAGTCATCCTTTTCTTTTTGCAGATACAGACTAACACAGCTGCTACTCTGAAACTAGACTTCATGTGAGCGAAGTTGTTTGATGTAGTGATTTTAAAAAGCTGCTAGCACTCAAAAGTGTTCAGTATTGGTATTCTTGATGTTGCAATCATCAGTGTAGCCAAACCAAGACAAGACTCAAGAAACTGTCATGTGGACCCCCTATGTTTCTGCATTACTAAGCCAAAAATGTAGGGCAAAGCTTTCCTTCAAGGGGCTTATGGCAGTCGTTAGGGACAAGGATAGGGAGGTTCCATGAGTCTTTCAGATCTCTAACAAAGCTTTTGTAATGTCCGTTGTTACTGTTTTACTTTCACTATTTTGCTCTGTGGAGGAAAAAAACAACTTAGTGTATTTCTAAAAGAATAGAAGAGTATCTTTAAAACAGCCACACATACTCCTCCAGGACAGAAGATTGCAAAAGTCCTTGGGAGTGAGGCAGGGGTGCCCTCGGGGTGGGGCCGGACTGGGGAGGTCAAGCACCCACTGGCACCGGGAGAAGTTGGCGCCTATGTCTGAGGGAGGTACAGCACACCCTTCAGGATTTGCCATTTGAGGGTCCCATTCTTCTTTTCAGAAAAGATGGATGATAGGCTGCATAGCCTGAAAGATTCCAGGACAACAGTGAAGTCGGGACAACTGGTTGGTGAGAGGCCAGTCCCAGTTTCAAGTGCTGTCCAGCATGGCTGTCATTCAATTCACCTTCAATGCACTGGGGCTTTTACTCAATCTGGACAAATCAATTCTAAAACCTGTGCAAAAAATAGAGTTTATCAGAGCACTCTGTGATGCTATAAAAATCAGACTGAGCCCACCTCCACGTTAATCTGCTTGAGTCACCCTCAGTGGAATGGACACGTGCAATCACAGTTACCTACCTTTGTGTAACTGTTCTTTGAGAGGTGCTGCATGTGTCCATTCCATGACCTGCCCTTCTTCCCCCCTCCATGAGAGTCTATCTGGTAAGAAGGAACTGAGAGGGCTCGGAAGTGGCTCTGCCCTCTTATACTGGCACACAATAGCACATGGCAGTTTGTCAGTGTTCGAGCCATCCTGATGGGTACCACTGAAGAAAAAATGTTCTCCGACAACTGTGCATGAGGCATGCACACGCCTACAGTGGAATGGATGTATGCAACACATCTCAAAGAACAACAGTTATGAAAAGACATGTAACCATTTTTTCTCTGCCTGTGGCACATCATAATCTAGTCTCCTGTGGGTTGTAGTACTTTGGTGTCATTTCAGTGGTTGGATTAGTGTGCGGCTGTTGGTGGCCTCTGCCATACAGGAGGTCTCTTCTGGCCTTAAACTCTGTGGAACAGAGGGACCAAGTGACTTGCCTAAGGTCATGCTGTATACCTGTTGTAGAACAGGGAATTGAACACAATTATTCAGAGTCTCAGGCTAGTGGTCTAACCACTGGGTGATCCTTCTTTGAGTTAAGATTCTAGTGAATTTGACTTAGCTAACTCAAGTTAAGAACAAACCATTTTTTGAGTGATCTAGAGACATTTGTGCAGGTGTTTTGACCATGGCTCTGGTTTTCCTTACTTAAATTGGTGAAACTCAGGTTTAACTCTATTGAAGTCAATAGTTACACTAGTGTAAAACCAGTGTCCAGGAAGAATCAGAGCCCTGGTCTCTACAGTGGGATTTTGCCATGACACCCAATAAGAAAATTACTTTCAGCTAATTTTTGTTCTTTAATATCCTGATCCAAGAACAAATGAAGTCAAAGGAAAGACTCAGAGAGTCCCTGGATTCAGCCCTGCAGGTACGTCTCCACTTTAGCTGGGAGTGAGCCTCCCAACCCAGTGAGATAGATTCATGCTAGCTCAGCTCAAGCTAGCACGCTAAAAATAGCAGTGTAGAAGTTGTGGGGTAGCTTGGGGGACACAAGCTGAGAGTAGCTTGCTCAGATGCAGGGTGCTGAGTGGGCATGAGAGCCTGAGATGCAGCCTGAGATGCAGCCCAAGCAGCAACATCTGCTCTGTAGTAGTTAGATCATTAGCTCAAGTCGAGCTAGCATGAGTTTTTCTACCCAGACTGAGAGGCTTGCTTCCAGCTGCAGTGTACACATACCCTAAGACAGGTGTGCTAAACTCCCACACTCTGCTGTGCACCCATCTTACCTATAGAGATGGAGGATAAAGATTTTTCTTTATTACACTTACGTGTTACATCTTTAGCTATTAGAAAACTAGTAACGATATTAAAGATCACTAGGGCATCTAGCAGGCAGAGGAATATGCCAGAGGTGAGCCCAGATTTCACTATGAGACTTCTGCAACTACATACACAGTGTGTGCACCCAAGAATGTGGATACTGCTGTGAACCCTGGTGAAGAATTACAGGTAAATAACTTCTTTTTCTTACTCATTTGGCAGTGCAAAAATAAATGATCAACTATTTTCTAAGTAGGTGCCCTTTTATTGAAGCTAAGTCATGTTCTAAAATCTGCTCACTTTCAAAATGGTTCCATGTTATGCATACCATTTTGTATTCTGCTAATGAATAGACAAGTTTGTTTATGATATTTCATGATTTAATACCAGTATCTCCAGTCTATGGCTAAACTACCAAAGTGCAGCCATTTGTTTTCTTGCTGGCATTTTTCATCCAATTTGTTCATGCAAACTGTTCTTACAGTAAGTTTCATGCAAAAGGTGCTAGGGTGATTTACAATCTTTCTCATGCACCACGGAAAACTTTTATTGAACTGGATAAGTTATGTAAAACCAATGTCATAAACCTAGACTTCAAATACAAATCATGTCTTCTCTCAGATCTTGCACGGTAATTCAAACTAGCCCAAACATTTCCCAGACCACATAGATAAATCTTCTCCACTGAATATTTATTTTATCTGAAATGGTTTGCTTACCTTTAATGTGGGTGGACTTTGAAAATTCACAGAAACAGCATGTGAATTTTGTGCACTGAGGAAAGGACACCAGACCTAAGACAGAGAAAGAAAGACATTTTCCCTGATAGAAGAACTCTCTCTCTTTCACTCTCCTATATCTCTCAAAATCTGTTCATATCATATTTTGTTTTTTTTCCCACACAATTCATAATGAAGTCTGAGCCTTGAGAATTTTGAGATTTTATGTGTACTAGCTGACAGGTGTCAACTAGTAATCTGTAGATGTAACTGTCAGTGTCGGTTGCCTGAGATGCACTCCCTCCCATTTGAAATTTTCTTGGCTAAAATCTGTTAGATAGAACTGATGATCTTAGATTACTGCAATTTCTCTACATTGGGGCCACCAAGTTTGCCTCACAGAAGTGAATATAATTCTTAGATTCTTTGGTGACCTATAATAGAAATAGAAAATGTCATTTTTTCCCTATGATCTGCAGTCCCATTATAATCAAGTATGCTAGCTTTCAACAGAGTAGCTCAAAGGGGCACCCGACCAGTTGAAAGTAGATAAGAAAGAATGGTGACTTTTGGTGACCTCTGTTTTTTAACTTGAATGTCCCTTTAGATTTTACAGTTATATAAACACTGAACCAAATTCTGCTCACACTGATGCTGACGTGAAGCCAGAGTGACTCTGATGAAGTCCAGTGTATGCAAGAGAAGGATTTGGACTCCTGTTTATAGTTTTCCTGCATTTTCATTAAAGGCCTGATCCAAAGGCAGTCTATGGGAATCTTTCCATTGACCTAGGATCAAGCTCTAAGACATTTTATCCCTGCTCTTCAGCAGTGGTGCAGCCAGGGCAAAGCAGAGTAGCCAACCACGAATGGCTCGTCCTGGTATAGAAAGATTCTTCAGTAGCAGAGCCACAATGGCGACCAGTGTAAATTGATGTAAACCTCAGGCTGTTCTCTAATTTATGCCAGAGCACTGGACTGTACAGAACTGGCATCTGATCAAAGGAGCAAAAAGATGGCTTTAAGCAATCTTTGCCCAGCACCCTGAATTTCATTGTGCACTCCTTGGCATGGAAGCTTTTTAATTGAATGGTCATAAGTAAATATAACTTTGGAATATTTGTGCTTCAATATTTACACAGCACTTGTATTTTTTGAATGTATTGGCATCCCCTTTGAAAGGAATCTTCACTGGCCACAAAGTGATCTTTAAATGGAACATTTTTCTTGTGAAAAAGTCAATTTGGTATTAAGGACATATTTCCATTTTGAGTCAAGACTCAGATGGCACTGACCAGCTGTAGCCATGAAGGGAAGCGTGTCTGCTACAAGATAAACTTTTTTTTTTTTTTTTGGTGGGTGGGATTCTCATCTGAATTAACCGAAACCTTACAAATTATTTGGATTTGGGAATTTTGTTTCTCCTAAACTGTTTTGCCTGTTTCGAGGGCTGAATTCTCCTACTAGTCAATAGAGCTGGATCTCGACTGAATATTTTGCCTCTGTTCCACAGAAATCAATGGGACTTCCATTGCAGAATGAGTGCAGAATATACAATGAAGCTCTGCGCTGTGGTTTACAGGTCTGCTGTGTAGATTGGAATGGAGAATTTTTATTGAGTCAGCAGGTTTTTTGTGGGGGTGAGGCCTCTCTTTACTCGTCATATAATCTATTTGAATGGTAGAGACCAGAATATCAAATATGAGTTGCCATTTTGTTGAGAATATTAACTTGGGAAATGTAATAAATGGTCAGGAACAATGCAACCGAGTTGAATTTTTCTATGTAACAGGACCAGTAAATAGTGAAGAAAGTAATATCATTGTACAATGCAAATTCTGGCAACCTGTTTTGAAGTTAAGTCTAAGATAGCACCAAACAAGAGTGTTAATATTGTAAATTACAGCTGTAATACATTAGTAGAAAAAACTAACAGGAATACAATTACTTTATGTGGGTAAGTACAAAACAACACTTTCAGGCAGCAAGCGAACACACTAAACATAGTAAATCATACGTATTTTATGACTAGATCTAAGGGCCTGATTTTGAACATAATTGTCACTACCTGGCCTTTCTGCACTCAAGTGCAAATATCTGTGCACAGTTATTTGCAAGTGCATTTGGGTGTCTGTGTTGCATGACTGTGCCCATATATCAAATACTTAGATGTTTAAACTGATAGCAGTTTTTCCTACAAGATAAGGACAAATAAAGCAAAGCTTGTGCCATAATTTTCAAAGATGAGATCCTGCAGTTAGGATCCAAAATCCATATTTATGGAAGCTGCTAGGTGCTCAGGACAGATGAAAATCAGGTGACTTATTTAGATGGCCTAACTGATGGCACCCATTTTTTTTTAAATCATTGTTCAGGTTTTAAAATTCTGCCCCTTAATGTGCATCTAAAGCTACATCTCACTCTTCTCCGGATAAGAGGAGTAAATTTCCTTTAGTATTATAGACAGTATCTGTATACTAGCTGTAAAGGCAAATTTATATCCAGGTGGATTATATATACAATTCTCAGAACCAAATGTTTATGGTTTAAAAAGTCCCTCTACTAAATAACAATGCCCTTGTGGGTCACACAGATTTAAAAACCTGAAACAATGAAGCTGTTAGGTGTCTATCTTCAATTTAGTGTTGAGTGATCCTCCCCACCCACCCAATCCAGTGTAATCCTAAAAGCATCTCTCTCAGTTTTTCTTGTAACATAGTGAGTTAGCATTGCTATGATTTCCAGCATTCTCTCTACCTAAATCCTTTTAGATGGTTCATTTAATCCCTTTAAAAATTAGGAATGTATTTCAATGTTATCCATAACTGTGTAAAAATAGAATCATACTTGATAAGATGGTGGTCAGGGCTCAGTTCTAACAAAGCCTTAGCAGTTTGATCCTCTCCACATTAGCAGACACAACCAGTTGATAGGAAACCCTGGAGGAGCCACGTTAGATCCTGAGGTCTGAATGAGATTCTATGAGGTGGAAGTACAGAGTTTGGCCCCAAGTTTCAAACAGGTTCAATTTCTAGCATAGACATTGCATGCTCTGTGGTCCCATCGTGTAGTCAAAAGAGCAGGTTTGAAATCAACATGTACCTGCTTAGAAATCACAGTTAGAAACTCTTTGCCACAATGATCTATAGTGCAAATTTGTAATTGTTTAAGCATTTCCTTTGCTGCTTCCCCAAACATTCTTTTACCTGGAAGTTGCATCTGAAGTGAGAGTATGTAGTCATTCTAGATAAACCCACTCCTCATATTATTCAGTGCTCAACTTTCTGAGCCCTATTCAATATTACCCTGCAGTCCCTTTGTGCCAGCTAAGCTCGTGTAGAAGGGGGACAGCTTAGGCATGAAAGCCACCCAATGTAGGGAGCTTCTGTACCCCTTCCAGAGGATCCCCAGGCATGAGGGTATGCTGGGGATACAGAGGGAGGGGACTGGGATGTGACTGGGGGAGACCTCTGCTTTGGCAATTCTGTGCTCCTGAGGAGACCCAGAGTTTGTTACAGCAGGGGAGAAACTTGATGCAGCCCTCAGGGGCAGAACTGAATTGAATTAAGTAGAGCCAGAACCCTGAAGTTTGTGGGATAAGAGAGAAGCAGCTGTTGGGCAGGGGATTACACACTCTGGGTGAATTAAAATTAAAAATGAGGGTAAACAATGCATAGCTATATGGCTAATGTTGTTGTAGGTCTCCAGGTGGCATTATTTCAGGCACTCTTCTATTTCTCTGAAAGCATGATTTTGGAGCAATGCTCATCACCAGCTGTGATCTCATCACCATCTTTTTAGATGCTGAATAATTGCCAGTAAAGCTTGAGATCTCAGAAAAATTTTCCCTTATATATTTGTGCTTACAAGATATAACCACACAAGAGGACAAAATATTATAAGGCGTGCAAACATTTTTAATAAAACCTCACATTATTCACATTATTTTATTTACACTCACATCTTTGAAGATGTAATAGCATTTTTATTATAGCACATTCTGATCACTTTAGGATTAGAAGAAAAATTATGTTTCTGTGGGGCTACAGAAAATTCTTTCCTGGGTATCTGGCTGGTGAATCTTGCCCATATGCTCAGGGTTCAGCTGATCGCCATATTTGGGTTCAGGAAGGAATTTTCCTCCAGGGCAGATTGGAAGAGGCCCTGGAGGTTTTTCGCCTTCCTCTGTAGCATGGGGCACGGGTCACTTGCTGGAGGATTCTCTGCTCCTTGAAGTCTTTAAACCACGATTTGAGGACTTCAATAGCTCAGACATAGGTGAGAGGTTTATCGCAGGAGCGGGTGGGGGAGATTCTGTGGCCTGCGTTGTGCAGGAGGTTGGACTAGATGATCATAACGGTCCCTTCTGAACTTAGTACCTAGGAGGCTAAATATACCAACTAAATAGCTCTATTTTCACAAAATATGAATAAAAAAGTTTCAGAGTTTCATTTTCAACCCTAACATAGAAGTTAGGGTTGCAAATGGATCTCAGTCTGAATACAGATTGCACTTCAGTATCAAAGTTATTAATGCAATATAACAAGTTTGCATATTAATCTTGGCCATTTGTACTTTATTTATAAAGCCAGAACTTTGCACCGTGTTTTACAGAAATAATTAAACAGAAATATATAGCGAGAGACCCTGTGTTACTGGGGCTGTTAGTGGGACTGGCACTTTCAGCTCCTGAATCGGAGAACAAGCCAACTCAAATCCACCTGGAGGTAATGAAATCCCTATGTGCCTAGTTGACAACTAATTAGCTAATGACCCTGACAAAGGATTACCAGCTGAGTTGGTTTCTAGAGACAGGAAGTTCACCAGAGCCAGGAGCCTAGAAGTGCACTCCTAGACACGGGGAATGCTTAACTAAAGGCTAGGCTGTCAAGCTACATAGTGCTGCAGAGAAGAGCTATAGCTGACACATCTGACTCTGGAGAAAATTCTTCCCAGACAGTGGCAAGAGGCCTGAACTGAGAGAACTGCTGGAGTGGACTGGTGGACTCAGGTGGGATGGATAAATTAAGACTGACTGTCTCCTAGCTAAGACACTGGGGTGAAGGTTTGGATGCATTTTCAGTGGGGCTCCAGTTAATAAACTAGACCCCCTCAGAGGGATGCTATTCCCTAAATAAAGCCTCATTTAACTTACTGATAGCCCACTTGGGGAAAGTGAGGCAGGGAGCATCTACAGGACACCTGGCCAAATAGTAGCACTATAGGGCAGGTACACCCTGTCTGAAAGAGCTTATGATCTATGGCCCCAATCCTACAACTGGATCTGCTACCATGGGCCTTTATGCCTATGCAAAGATCCACTAACTCTGATTGGGGTTTACCACAGACAAACATAGAAGGTGATAACACAGTGGCAGGGAGGAGACAGGATGGACATTAAATAAAGATGATGCAGGACTAATGACATTTGTAAATGAATAAGTTCTGATATGTTTAAACAGAGTGTGCAAGAGGGGAAGAATACATAACACAGCAATGGCAACTATGGAAAGCAAAACAAATGCAGTCTGCTGAGGAGATAAGATTTGGTCCTCTGAAGTCATACTGAATTACATATTGGACACTGTTGAAAGCAACCTTCTCCCTTCTATCACAAATCATTTTCATCCATCTCTACTGGTTTTACTCCTTGGGAATAGACCAAAGAAGGAAAAATACCACACTCGGGTATGGGCTGCAGTGAAGGCAGGTGTCTCTCTTGCAAAAGTGAAGCTTGGGACAACTCAAAGCAAATCTCAAAATAATCCACTGATTCCCCATCTTGTGTCTGCATTAAGAGTTGGTAGTCTCCAAAGCGAATGATGCATTTCCATGGCAGGTCAATTTTATTTAGGTAGTCCAGTTCCACGTTGTCCACAAGTAGCTTGGTCTTTTTGCTCATGTTCTTTATCTCAAAACCAAGTTCTGAGCTGTTGAGTTGCCTGAAAAACTGCAGGGTAAACTGAACCCGGGAAACACGGGTATCCATTAAATTATAATGGCAGACGTTAGAATCTCGGCCAAATTTTGCCACTTCATCTACCCTGCACCGCTCTCGCTTGTGGAATTTTAAGCTGCGAAACACCTGCTTTTCTTCCTGGCAAGGATGGTACAAAGTTATATGGAGACAAGTTACTGTCTCTTCAGTTTCCACTTCTTCCATGGAGCTCATGATGATGATCCTTCTCAGAACTACAAGAAAGAAAGAAACATAGAATTATTGCAATACCAAAAAAATCCACCTGGAACAGCATCATTTAAAGAACTTTACATACTATTAATCAATTAATGTGTACTTGTTTTATAGAGAACCATGGGTAGTAAACATAGTCTAGCAGCTAGGGCACAGGACTGGTAGTTAAGAACTCCAGGTCAATCACAATCAGTTTTGCCATTGACTTGTTATGTGGTTCTGGACAGATCAAAAGCTTCTCTGTGCTTTGGTTTCCCATCTGTAAAATGAGAAACAGTACAGAGACAAGGTGAGTGAGGTAATATCTTTTATCGGACCAAGTTCTGTGTAAGAGCAAAAGTTTGTCTCTCTCATGAACAGAAGTTGGTCTGATAAAAGATATTCCCTCACCCACCTTGTCTCTCTAGCATCCTGGGACTGACATGTCGACAACAACACTGCATACAACCATAAGTACAGGCTGTTATGAAACTTCCTTAATATTTTTAAATGTTTTGAGATCTTTGCAGGAAACTACGCAAATATATTAACTAGTTCCGCCTCTATTATAAGTGTCTTACTAAATGGATTCACCTTTGAAGAAACATTTTGGTGAAACACCACTGGAAGCCTAAGCACTTGTTTTGTTTTGTAGACCTCAGACCCATATTGGAACTATTACATAGTATTTGTTAATTACTCTGAATATTCTATATCACTATATTATATTCCTTTGACAATATGAAATGTGACAAGTACCCTTTACAAGTACAGCTTGCCTGGGATGTGGGAAACTCAGGTTCAATTCCCCTCTTCCTGCCAGAAAGTGGGGAGAGGATTTGAACAGAGGTCTCAGAACTCTCTAATCACAACGCTGTGGGGCATTCTGGTGTAGGGTTTCCTTGGTCTCCTGTTTTGAAACAGTGGCACTCCAGCTAAATAACGGAAGTGTGATTGGACAGACCCCTCAGTCTTGCACTTCCCGGATGGGTTCCCTTAACCCTGGACTATAGAGTCATTCTCCCTCTCCTTCTGGCCTAATGACTATGTCAATATTTATCCATGGTAGAACAGTCAAGTAGGAGCTCAGAAGAACACTAGAGTTTTCAGAACTACCCACTGACACAAACTTTACCTTCTGAAATCTCATTAAGGAGTAGCTGCTGTATGTAATACGTTACAGATATCGAAAATGAATTTAAAGTGCGTGTGAAAATTCCTTTGCTTTCTCCAACAAAAATGGGGTACAGGATTTGCCATACTGCACCAGACCAGTAGTTCATCTAGCCCAGTATCCTGTCTCTAACAGTGGCCAACACTAGTTGCGTTAGAGGAAGATGCAAAAAAAACCTGTAGTTATGGAAGAGTCTGTCCAGAGGGAAAGTTTCTTCCTAAACCCCATTAATTAGCAGTTGGCTCATGCCTGGAAATATGGGGGATATATCCCTTTCAAAACTCCTTGTTATTGTTTTTAATCTGTGCTATTGTAATTCTGGATGTTCTTGTCCACATAAATGTCATATTTAACTCTTGGCCACATAGCTTGTGGCAAAGAGTACCACAAGCTAATTGTGCACTGTGTTTAAACGGTTTTTTCTTCTACATCCAAATAAGATCATCACTTAACTGATATGTACATTTGACTATGAGATGCGTAATCAATGTTATTCATTTCATCTGAGTCATTACTAAAAGCAGTTTACAGTTCAGTTTATTGTATTTTATTGCTACATGAAGCATCATTGTGATATGGACTGACATACGATTGCCTTTCCAAGCACAAGATTGCACAACTTTAATCTATAAACATACAAAGAATGGATTACTGGTACTATGACACCTTTCTGTGATGCCAGTATTTAGAGATACCATATAAATATCTCAAGACCTCTGGAATTATTTTCCTTCCTTGATTGATATTCAAAACAAGGCACAATGCTTTTTTCTTACAAAGCAACAGCTCAGGCACAGAACATCTCCCATTTCAGTGCTGGATAAATCTGGCCAGGGAAATCATACTAGTGAACTCTACTTAAGTATTACTTGCTAGAGTGGTGCTAATATGGTTTTCCTGGCCATTATAAGCAAAACCTAAATGTTAAGAAACAAATTAATTTCAAGTAGATTATGATTTCTAGGCTGTTTATAATACCTGTAAATAATTCTGCTTTTTCCCAGCCCATCTTGAAAACAATATAGTTGATTTTGGGTAAAATTATATTGCAGTTTTATGCAATTATAGTTCTTTCTAAAGTGATTTTGGTGCTTACGAAGAGCAACTTTCAGTCATGCCTGAAAAAGATCAAAACCTTAGAAAAGATCTGAACCTGTAACTTACAAGTGGAAAATTCTACATTCCATCACTCTACTCCTAAATCAGTTGGAGGTGCATCAGTAATGCTTACTGTCTTTCAATTACCAGAGAAGAGAAGTGTATTCGGAAGAATTTGCAGATGTTGTGAATGAGACATGTCAATGCAGGCCTGTATGTTTTGTTCAAAATGTTGCATGTCAAATTTTACAAATGACCATTTGCTTCTGTTAAAGGCCTAAGGCGGCAGGAGGGGATGTCAGGAAGTTCTCTCAAACAGAGAAGCCAGTTCCTAGATACTGGATTACACCTCAGTAAGTGGACAGCATGTAGATTAGACAAGGCTGCAATGGGAGCAAAATCTTTTCCACGGTGCCACAATATATTTTTAAGATATGGATTTTGTATTTTGCATGGAAATATGCACTTAATTAAACTCTTGCCCAGTTGGGGCCAAGTCCTGAAGGAAGCAAAAAGCCCCCAGCCTTTAGCAAGAGTTTTACATACAGAGGACTACAGTGTTGAACTCTTGGTGTCATTTCACATTTGGAATGTGCATACTTGGCTCACTTCCCCTTACATTCCACACAACTCCATCAGCAAAAAATCCACACAACTTCCTTGGGGCACTGACTGTTAACATCACCGTGCATGGGAATTTGTGGATCTTTTGCTGAAGGGTTAGGCTGCCCGTACACCCACCCCACAAAAGAAAATTTCTAACAACAAATTTTTCTCTGATATTCAAACTTTTTCTACTGACAAATAAAACAAGCAGCAAGAGGCCCACAAAGCCAGATTACAAATGTGAAAACACTAATGATACAACTGTTTTGAAAGCAATTCTGACTCCATTAAATCTCAAAACTTAGAAAGGGAACAAACTGGTTAAACCATCAGGTCTATCCTCCCCACGTAGAAGATGTCAGTTCCTAATAGAGGCCATAATAAATGTTTGCATGCTCATTTAACAAATAATTTCTCCACCATAAAAAATCCTGTAAATTCAGATTCTATATGACACATCTTTGGATACTGCAATGATGAGTGTAGACAGGCGGCTGCATTCCACCCTCAAATGCATCCTTGCAACTCTCATTGATTAGAAGGGAATTTGTAGGTCTGTCATGGGGCAGCTGCCCCCTCACTGGTATATAAGGGGTTAAAGCAATCCTGCCTGCATGGGAGGCAGCCAATAAGGAAAAGGCTTGTAGTGTCAGCCAGTTAGTGGAATGTTTATTGGAGGTGCTAATCAAGGCCAGCCATATAAGAAGGGGCTGCTGAGCTAAGCAGAGGCAGTCACTCCCTACAGTTTGAGGGAGGAGAACTGGCTGCTCGGAGCAGAGGTTCTCAACCAGTGGTCTGGGGCCCCCAGGGGGGCCAAGAGCTGGTTTGAGGGGGTCTCCCCAGTATAGCTGGTATTAGCCTTACTAGGGCCCAGGACAGAAAGCTGAAGCTCCACCATGGAGGACTGCAGCCTAGGGGCCTGAGCTGCAGCACCTGGGGCTGAAGCCTGAGCAACTTAATTTTGCGGTGCTCCTTGTGGCATGGGCTACTGCTCTGCTTCCTACCCCTTAATGCCAACCATAGATTTTATACGGAGAAAAACAATTATTGTGGTACAGGTGGACCTTGGTGTGTTTATAGCACGTCGTGGGGGCCACAGAAAGGAAAAGGTTGAGAACCCCTGGCTTAGAGGACTGGAGCACAATGGACAGAGCAGTGCTGGGCAGGGTCAACAGGCTGACCGCTGCCAAACTGAGGGCCTGATACACAGGCAGAGGAGGTACTGGGACTGCAGGGAAGGAGATGGCAGAGTTGGAGGAGGGGTAGCACATGGCTGCTGGCCATGGGATCCCTGGGTTGGGACCCAGAGTAGCGGGCGGGCCTGAATCTTCTCTCCCTCCTCCCTGACTTTGCCTCCACTTGCCACTGAGGGGCATGGCCAGTGTATGGACTGAAGTTTGCTACTGAGATAATCAGCTAAAACCTGGACTGCAGTTCACCAGAGAGGCAAGTGGTTGGACTGAGGACTGTTGGTCCCCTAGAACAGGGGATAGAACCAAGTGGGGCAGAGCTGGAGGGCTGTATCCAGAAGAGGACGACGGAGTCCAGGGAGTGACGCAGGTCCTGGATGCGGAGACAGTGGAGTGAGGATGGGCAGGACACCACCTGGCAATCCCGAGCTAATAGCCAGCAGGGGGTGCCACGGTGGTGAGTAGAACACCTGTCACAAGGTCCAAGAGCAGAATTTCCCATAATGCCTGGGAATTGACTAGAGTAAAGAACCCCCCCCCCCATATCTTGCTATGTTTATTCCTTTGTGATGTTTTTGTTGTTGTTTTTTTAAAGTGAGTAAATTTACTGAGTTGACAGTGCAGCAAGATCTAGTAGAGGCATCCAGGGTCCTGACAATTAAGGGCTTGATCCTGCGCCTAGTAAAGACAATGGCAAAACTTCCACTGCCTCCAACAGCAGCAGGCGCGCGCCCTCACAGCGCGGCAGAGGTGCCCCTCCAAGCTCCATCCCGCCGCAGACCGGGAGGAGGCATCTCTTCACCCATGCAAACAAGGAAGCGACGCTAAATGGGTGAGGGCAGCAGGCGGATGCGCAGTCCCACGCACATCTCTGTCTGCGAACAAGAACCTGCCCCTCAGTGGCAACGGCAGGGGAAAGGTGGCGGCCAAGGGACCGGGCCATTTTTCTCCTCGCAGCTGAAAAACCCCAGACGCCGATTTCGTTGGCCCAGAAGCAGCAGCTGGCAGCGCATCCAACGGGAAACACGCCCACGCCCGGCGCCGCCGCTGGAGCGTCTGGCTCGCCTAGAACAGCGAGGGCTCGAAGGCGCGGCGCGCCGGGGCGGGCAGCTGCGCTACGCCACGTGCGGGCCAGCGGGAAGTCCCCTGCCTGGCGGGGTTACCAGCTGCCCCCCGCGCCAGCCCGCTCCGACGAGCAGCGACCCGCCGGCTGCCTGCCGCGGGCGCGGGTCACGGCACGCCGCCCTCTGCATCCGCAAATCAGCCGCACCCCACTGATTCGCTACACACCCACACACCCACCCCCGCGCGCACACACACACTCTCCGCTCGTGGCGCAGCCCCTGCGGACGTCGGCCCCCCCTTTTCCCCGCCGCTCCCATCCATCCCCTTGAAACTGCCCCCTCGGGAAAGAAGTAGCGGCAAGAACCAGCGCTCAGCTCTGTGCGCTCACCTCCGCCGGCGGGCCCCAGATCGCAGCCAGGCGGATCCCAGCGGGGTGTCGCGGGAGCGAAACGAGCCTCTCCCGCGCCCTGAGCTTGCTCCTCTCCAGGCTCGGCGTGAACACGAGACTGTTTATGCAGAGCTGGCAGAGGACAGGACTTTTCCCCGCACTCCCCTCCCGTTGCCTGCCCGGGGTGGGGGAGGGGGAGCAGCTGCACCATGGGACTTGTAGTTCGCAGCACTCGGGCGGCGGCTTCAGCAGTCCCAGGAGGGCTTCGCGTAGGACGGCCACCAAAACAAACCCGCTGGACCGGCGGCTTCTCTTCGGCGAGCGTCATGTAAGTGCCCAGCACAGCGGTCCGCAAGGCGGATAATCAAAGGGGCGCCAGCAACTTTAAAAACCAGGCGGCGGTCCGAACCTCTGATTGTTGTGAATAACGCCTGCTGATCACCAGATCTGCAAGGGATTACAGAAATGTATTTCCCTCTTCTTTTGTCGCTGTGTTTTCTTTGCGCATTTCGCAGCCCTCTGTGTGTGGCGGACTCTACCGCTTGCTTTGTACACTCGTACAGTCGGTCGGTTTCCTTTGCTGGTGCTGTGGCCTTTCACACAGCAACGGAGCTGAGAAACATTTTAATAAAAACGAAAATGAGTGAAAAGCTCCCAGAAACTGTTATGGGGGAGGCAGGGCAGGTGTACTGCCTGAGACTACATTCCCATATAGGCAATGTCCATATCATCATATTAATTAAAATTGACCCATCTTGTAGAAGGTGTCAACATACCTGGCATGTATGTATTTAATTAAAGTTAAAGGAAGTGTTCTAGCTCCATTCAGATGTTTGTTTCTATCTGGGTTCTTGTACAGGATCTATGAGGGACAGAGTTTATCTAGGTGTATCCTACATGTTGTTTGCATTCTATCAGTGTAAGAAAAAAGTTCTCTTAACACTACCATGATCAGATTTCTGTGCCACTGATTATTTTATTTTGAGCAAAATCTTACTCAATTTACTGTCTCACAGCCCTCACCAAAGTTAGTGGTGATTAATGGGACTTTTGTGTAAGCAACTCTCAGTAGTCCATTCTAAATAAACATTTTTAGATATAAAAAGTTTTAAAGTTATATTTCTAGGCAGCAAAACAGGCTGAGTCAAATGGTCAGTTAATTGCTTTTGAACACCATTCTGCGTGTAAGCCACTGAAAGACACTTCACTAGTTCTCAAGTGTATTTTTCCGCTGTTATTAACCACTTGTCCCCACTAGACTTTATTTAGAAACAAACAAAATATCTGCTTATAATGTGGTATGCCGAATACTTGTCAGTGTTAATAAACTATCGATTTACGTTTTAAAATAGGAAGTAAATTGAAAACTGGGTAGGTTACATCAAATGAACTACCCAACTAAATTATCCTGTACATTTAGAAATGCAATGTGAGACAGGACACTGCTCACTGAGGAGAAGGAGGAATCTTTGTTCATGAAACTTTATGGTTAAGATCGTAAACCCATTGTGACACTGCACTCCATATTCTTCATAGTATAATGATGCATTTTATGCAAGACAGGTAATGTAAGATGTCATTGGAAAAGTTATGATTTGCTGAATAGGATTATCCAGTTTGTATGCATGTATCATTTTTGTATCTGAAGTTATGAATATTGGCTATGTGTCTGTATTTCAAATGTAGTTATACCTGGGTGATGCCTACTAGGCAAGATGCTTTCAGTCTAGATAGTGGGTGCTGAAGGGCCTATTCAGGGTAATGAGCCATTAGGGAAAACAGAAGGCCTCAGGAGAAGCTTATCCATCATTTGGTGAGCCTTCCTGTGAACGCTCCATACAATCTGTAAGTAATGGCTGCTATGACTCAGCAAGGTATGCAAGGGCATGTAACCAGGCCACATGATCCATCCTGGGATGTCGGTGTTTTTCCACAAGCTGAGTTTCAGACAGTTCCCTCCGTATAATAAAGGTATCTAAGGCAGAGAGTGACATCATCTGTTCTTCACTCCCCACATAAGAAGATTCCTGGAAACACCTAAGGAACAAAAACTGAACTGGGGGAAGTGCTGGACCCAGGCTAAAGGGATTTCTAGCCTGTGTGTGAAAGACCTGAGGATTCCAAGCTGTAAACCAAGTACAGCTTGTCCCTTAAGAATCTGCAAGCCTGCTTGTACCATCTCTCCGGGTGAGAGATTGGATATGAATTAGCAGTTTATCTAGTATAATCAGCTTAGTTTGCATTTTTGTTTACTTACTAAGTAATCTGCTTTGATCTGTTTGCTACCACTTAGAATCACTTAACTTCAAACTTACTGGTTTAGATTAAAACATAAAATAAATGTATTAACTACAAAAATATAGATTTTTAAGTGCTTGGGAATCCTAGCTCAGTGGGGCTGTTGCATTTCCTCCTCACAGTGGGGGGGGAAGCAAACTGGATAATAAATTTATACTGGTTGGGGTTTAGACCAGGGCAGGACGATACAGCTCTGGGAACTAGACTGGGAAACTGGTTATTTTGGCCATAGCCTCTCTACTGTTGGTTCATGCAGTAGCTGGTCAGAGCCTGCAGGTAACTGCAGCTGGGTGTATCCCTGCCTGTGTAAATGCGGTGGAAGTGTAAGATTAGGAGCGGGTCTGCAGCTTGTCACAGCAGCACAGTGTGAGAGGGAGCCCAGGCTGGTGGGTCAGAGGGCTCAGTGGCACCCCAGGGGGAACCCATCACACCCATAAAAGTCAGTAAAAATGAACATTATATTTCCAAACAATCATTGCATGCCCTCTTTTATAAGTGAAGTATTTTGTATTACTCACTATGGTGATAGCTTTGATCTTATAGTAAATACCACATGTTCAGCATGACTGAATAACAGTTATCATTGTAATAAATATCTGAATTCCTTGACATCTGTAGGTTCAGAATCTCAGTCTACTGTTGCATTAAACAGTGTTTTGTCTTTAAGATCCTGTTAGAGTTGAAAGAAAAAGAGCATCTGTAAATACACGCATGCATATGTCTGAGTGTAGAGCGCATGATGAATGCCGAATTAGGCCCTCTGTACAGTTTTCAGTCTTCCCACATTCATTTCGTAGTACCTAGTTTTCAATCAGTATCACACTTAGTAAAGCACACAAGCTACTTTGGACTACATCTGGTTCAAGTTTAAAACAAAACTAATTTCGAGATCTCCAATCACAAAGGAATTACTGAACAATGTCTTTAAAAATGTGGAAATCACATTTTAAAATCCTGGGATAATTCAAAAACAGACAAAGAAAAATTGTACTAAACTTTACAGTGGGCGGGGGAAACAACAACCCACTTGGGACTGGAAGTGAATGTGCAAACATTAATTTCAAATGGCAATTTTTCTAAAACATTTTCATTTATAGGTGCTTAATGTCTCTTAATTCATAACAATGCTAACAAGCAGTTCCGCTGAAACCCTGGTAACCACCAGAGTTGAGCTTGGAACGTGAGATATGTATAGAGTCTTACCCAGTTTTCTTTATATGTAGTTGTAGGATTGTCTCCAACTTCTCCCTCAAGGACTGGCTTTGTCCATAACTCATGGAGTTGAGAGGATTTCTACATTCAATTTGTTGTTTTACCATAACTGATGGCCAATTTGGTTGTCTGCTTAAGTCACTGAATTTTTCAGTTGTGCCTCTTTCTTTAATAGCTTGTCTCAAAGATAGACAAAATTAGACTATGAAAGCAATGCTCCCAGCTGATAATGTGTAAAACATAAAGTAGATGTATTTATGCCAGTACATATTAGAATCATAGGAATTAATGTGATAAATAAAATTTGTAAATGTTACCCTAATATGATCTAAACACAGAAAAGGGAAACTCTCTTCAGTTCTTAGCTTACAAATAGATATTTGTGTCCTTAATTATGTGTAACTTTCAGCAATCACACCATGCTCAGATCTTCACATGAGGTTTCCTCCAATGTGTTTTCACTTCATTGGGGCTCCAGACAAGATCGAGGATGTATTGCTGTCCTTTAGAATTCAACCTGTGAGCTAAAGACTAAGCCCAGTCGTCTTGTGCTCAAGTCACCTTCAGCTGAGCTCCTAACAGTGTATCCTAGTCACTGGCCCACATGCCCAGTATTGAATCCCTACAATCAAAAGTATTCAGAACTGAACTGTTCTTTGGTGACACTCCAGTGTCACCTCTGCAATGTCTTGGCCACAGAGACAAATGCTCCATCATAAAGTGATTACATCAAGGAAAACATATTTGTATTGTAATTCCTCTACACAGAAACATTTCCCCCACCCATCAGGGTGTTTATATTATAAGGACTCTGCTTGTTAGGGAAACATTTAGGTTTGTTTTGGTTGGGTTTGTTTGGTTTTACATTTACAGCTTAATTAAGGTATTTGCCAACCAGAATAAAGTAACTTTTCTTATGTTTTAAGGAACAAATGCTGAGTCTGATCAAATTTTACTGACTGTTAGAGAAGAAAAATCCTTTCTTGGCTGGCAATCCAAGTTCAGTCAAAAATAATATTTTATTTTGAGTCCTGATGCAAACTTACTGTATAATAAAAGTTCAGTTATAGCATCTTTCATCCAATGGTTTCCAAGTTCCTTACAAAAATGAGCAGGTGTTAATTACAGATACAGTAACTGATGTACAGAGAAGTAAGTTACTTTCACAGGATCGCACAGTGAGTGACAGGTTTCAGAGTAGCAGTTGTGTTCGTTTGTATTCACAAAAAGAAAAGGAGGACTTGTGGCACCTTAGAGACTAACAAATTTATTTGAGCATAAGCTTTCGTGAGCTACAGCTCAATTCATCGGAGTAAGTGGCAGAGTAGGAAATAAATTCCAGGTCTTTTAAATTCCAGCCTTAACTGTTAGACAATACTGCATCTCCCATACTATGTATGTGACAGTATGATATCTGTGTGCCAAATCTTGTAATCTATACTTTTGCAACATTCCCGTTGAAATCAATGTGTGTTATGCCTGAGTAAACTTTGTAGTATTTATTCACAAGGAGTCAAATCCTGCAATGTTATAAAACACATGCTTAGATTACTATAAATACACAAATTCCATACCACGGATGATTAAACAATACAGTATATTACTTCCTTTTGTATACGAAAGTGCTTAACTGCTTTAGGTACATTTGGCTGGATATGTTGCTTGTGCTCATTTAAAATGATTCTTGTGATGTAACTATTTGGTGTGTACAGTTTTTTGTTTATATATTTTTTAAAAAGCCTTACTTCAGAGAGAATTTTAGATCTTAGTGCTATTGCTTTTAATGTGATAATCCTGAAAAGGATATACTGGAAACAAAGTGAAGGAAAATCATCTCTGTCATACTGTTAGCCGACAGCCAAGGATGTTTGGTGAGATGCCAGCTATGCCCGTTTATACCATCCGTGACTTTAACCGCTAGGACGCACTGTCCCTTCGCGGCGGGAAGCCCGGGCTAGGCTGACGGATGCCCCAAGGTCCTAACCACCCGTGACTTTAACTGCTAGAGCTCAGAGCTCCTTCGCAGCGGGCAGTCAATACTGACTGACAGGTGCCCCAATGGCAGCACTAAGAGCCTCTCCACACCCGTGACTTTAAATGCTAGAGCTCAGAGCTCCTTCGCAGCGGGCAGCCAGGATTGACTGACAGGTGCCCCAAGAGTTTGCCCCGTGGAGGCGGCACAACTCAACGCTAGGCTCTTAGTACTCTCACCTAATGGCCAGGCTTTAGAGCCAAAACGGCTGAGGTTCTTTAATTGTGTTGGCTGCTTTACAGTAAACCAGAGAAAACAAGTCAGGCTTATGCATAAATGGTTACCAAAATTTATTAAGCTAGATTCTAATCATGTGGTTACAAAATTGCTAGTGCCTACTTATTTAAATGTAGAGATGTTACACACACAAACAGTTACAAAACTGAAGCCACAATCCCAAAGAAAGAAAACAAAGTATAGAGCTCTATTTCAAAATATGTGTACACTAAAGATAGGAGATCAGGTGTGGGTGCTTCTTACTCTCCTTGCATCTCTCGATTCCAGCGGTGCCAAGCCAGGATCGGTCACTCAATTCCGCGGAAAGACGAATAAGGGACAAGGCGTAGGGACCCTCTTAGCTGCAGAAGCCTTGGGAGGCTGTCACTTATCTGACCAGCAGATAGATAGTGAAAAGCACTCAAAAATCATGATGCT